CCACTGGACTGCCAGGAAATTCCCAGCTGACAATTTTTTAAAATTTAGTCCTTTTTCTCCACCACAACTTTTCATATTTTGGTAAAATTCAAATGATTCATTCATATTGCAGTTGTATGACAAATTTTGATGATAAATAGATATATCAAAGGATAAATATTAAAATTATCCTAAATTTTTTCTTGGAATGATTTTTTTAATTACAAAAATAATATACCGTGTTATTAGAAGCTTTGGAAAAAACAATCATTCCATCACACTAACATATAAATTGTTCATTTTTTGGTATATTTCCAACCACTTAAAAACTTTTTCGCATTAGGATAACTTAGGATTCCTGTTTATAAAAGCCAGAAATCTACATTTTTAACAATCACCTGAGATGATTGTTTGCAAGTTAGAGAACCAAAGACTAAAAATAATTTTTTGTTTGTTTGTATTTGGCCACGGCCTGCGGCCTGAGGGATCTTAATTCCCTGACCAGGGATGGAACCCACGCCCCCTGCAGTGGAAGCAGAGTCCTAACGACTAGACCACCAGGGAATTCCCTAAAGATAATTTTTTAAGACCCCTGTTATTTAAACTTACATAACATTACTTTTAATGTAATAGATAAGATGTGAGCAAGTTCTAGTAATCTTTGCAAAATTGTGTGTATATATATATATATATATATATATATATATAATGGGCTTTAAATGGAGGCATTTATTTTTATTGAAGTATAGTTGCTTACAATGTTATATAAGTTACAGGTGTACAATATAGTGATTCACAATTTTTAAGATTATACTCCATTTATAATTATAAAATATTGGCTATATTCCCCATGTTGTAACTATATCCTTGTAGCTTGTTTTGTACCTAATAGTTTGTACCTCTTAATCCCCTACCCCTATATTGCCCCTCCCCCTCTTCCCTCTCCTCACTGGTAACTACTAGTTTGTTCTCTATATCTGTGAGTCTGCTTCTTTTTTGTTATATTCACTGGTTTGTTGTATTTTTTAGATTCCACATGTAAGTGATATCATACAGTATTTGTCTTTCTCTGTCTTATTTCACTTAGTATAATGCCCTCCAAGTCCATCCATGTTGCTGTAAATGGCAAAATTTTGTTCTTTTTCATGAATGAGTGGTATTCCATTGTATATATTTACCACATCTTCTTTATCCATTCTGTTGATGGACACTTAGGTTGCATACATATCTTGGCAATTATAAATAATGCTGCTATGAACATTGGGGTGCATGTATATTTTCAAATTAGTATTTTTAGTTTTTTTGGATATATATACCCAGGAGTGGAATTTCTGATCATATGATTCTGTTTTTAGTTTTTTGAGAAAACTCCATACTGTTTTCTACAGCGGTTGCACAAGTTTACATTCCCACCAACAGTGTTATTTTTAACACATTATTTTTAACCATTTACATTTTCTTTTCTAGGAATTGCCTATTCATATTCTTTGCCAATTTTCCCAAAGAATAGTTTCGGTTTTCCTGGCCAATTGTAAGAACTGTATATAATCTGTCATCTACACTTGGGAATCTGGTGACTTGAATTTGTCTTCACTCCTACTCTCAACTCAACCTATTTACTGAGCCAAGCAGCTGGATGCAAGGAAACCTCAGATTCTATTGCAGTCTCGAAGAACAGGGCTGGTGGAGTGCCTAGGACAAAGAATAAGAAACTGACTCAGAAATACTTGGCACCCTTCCACTGTCTTTCTGCCCCAGAGGAATGTTGACATCAGCCTGGCCTCCAGGAAACCAAAAAAGAGCCACACTGGCAGGCTGAGTCCTCCCTACTCTTGAGCAAAGATTTCTCTCTGTTTTTTTGTCAGATGACTACCAACAGCCAACTTGCTGTTTACACCTGCTACACAGCTCTCGTGGTAGAGAAGGGTCAAGTACAACACTGGGACTGCCAACTCTGAGCTCAGGGAATAGATGGAAGAAATAACTGCATATCTAAGGAGCCAGCAACAAGAAAGGAATATAAACAAGCTGTTGGGGCAGGCCCCCAGCAAAATAGAGCTGCTGGAGGAGAGAGACAATAACTTGAACAAAATAATAGGAGCACAGTGAGATTGAAAGTGCAGTATTTAAAAAAATAAAAAAACCTCTGGCGCCAGAAGCCATTATTTTTGAACCAACTACAACAATAGGTCAACTGGAGGAAAATGATAACATGGAGACTTAAATTTGTGGCCTAGAGAATCTAGTGGAAGAAGTTTCTTGGTTTTTTGTTTGTTTGTTTTTGCGGTACGCGGGCCTCTCACTGTTGTGGCCTCTCCTGTTGCAGAACACAGGCTCCGGACGCGCAGGCTCAGCAGCCATGGCTCACGGGCCCAGCTGCTCCGCGGCATGTGGGATCTTCCTGGACCGGGGTATGAACCCGTGTTCCCTGCATCGGCAGGCGGACTCTCAACCACTGTGCCACCAGGGAAGCCCAGAAGAAGTATTTTTAAACTTAGAGCCAAAAGGCAAAGAAAGGGTAAAAATAACAGATTTTGAGGATAGAAGAAGTAGACCTAATGTGTATAATAGGAGTTCAATAAGGAAAAAAAAGGAACAGATTGAAGAGAGGCAATAATTTAAAAAACAGGAAGAGTCTCGAGCTGAAAGACAAGACTAGCTTCAAAGGGCATGCTGAGTCCTTGGCAGAATTCATGGTAATAATAAATGTCAATTACTAAGTTCTCACTCTGCTAGGCAGTGTTCTAAGGGCTTTCCATTTATTAACTCGTTGAGTCCTTACAACAGCCCTACAAAATAGGTACTATTATCCCCCCTAATTCAGAAGAGGAAAAATGGTTAAGTGTATAGTCAAAAAGTGAACCCAAGAGATTTGACTCCAGAGCCTTGACTAAACTGCCTCAAAGAGCAAAGACCTATATTTAAGCAAATCCTGTTACAGTTTATGAACTCTGAAGATCAAGGGTGAAATCTTACAAGTTCCAGAGAGAAAGAGCAAGTAATCAGCAAAAGAAAAAGAGCCTGTCACCAGAGTTCTGATCTGCCTCACCTTAAGCCAGAAAGCAGTGGGAAAATTTATCTATACTACTGATTGAAAAGGACCACAAGCCAAGGTTTCTCTAACCAGTCAAATTATTCAGCTATCAAGCTGATACAAAGATTTGCTGATATACCACAATTGAATAACTAACCCCACCTACCTTCTGATGAAAATACTCAAAAAAAGGGAATTCTAATAGTATTTATTTAACCTTTGTCTTTGCACATGCAACTCCTTCTGCCTGGAATAACTCCTCCCTTTCTTTACCAGTCTAACAACTCTGTTTTTAATTAAAATAGAATTGATTTACAATATTGTGTTAGTTTCAAGCGTACAGCAAAGTGTATGTGTGGGTGTGTGTGTGTGTATATATATATATATGTATACATTTCAGATTATTTTCTATAATATGTTATTACAAGATATTGAATATAGTTTCTTGTGCTATACAGTAAATCCTTATTGCCTATCTATTTTGTGTATAGTAATTTGTATCTGTTAATCCCATACTCCTGATTTATCCCTTTCCCCTTCCCTTTCCCCTTTGGTAATCATAAGTCTGTTTTCTATGTCTCTGAGTCTGTTTCTGTTTTGTATATAGATTCATTTGTATTATTTTTTAGATTCCACATATAAGTGATATATAATATTTGTCTTTCTCTGACTTACTTCACTTAGTATATTCTCTAGGTTCATCCATGTGAAAGAATGAAAATGGCAATATTTCATTCTTTTTTATGGCTGAATAATATACCATTGTATATATATATACACCACATCTTCTTAAGCCATTTGTTTCTTGATAGACACTTGGGTTGCTCCTGTGTCATGACTATTGTAAATAGTGCTGCTGTGAACATTAGGGTGCATGTACCTTTTCAAATTAGAGTTTTCGTCTTTTCCAGATACATGCTCAGGAGTGGGATTGCTGGATCATATGGTAGCTCTATTTTTAATGTTTTTTTTTTTTTTTTTGTGGTACGCGGGCCTCTCACTGTTGTGGTCTCTCCCGTTGCGGAGCACAGGCTCCGGACGCGCAGGCCTAGCGGCCATGGCTCACGGGCCTATCCGCTCCGCGGCATGTGGGATCCTCCCAGACCGGGGCATGAACCCGTGTCCCCTGCATCGGCAGGCGGACTCTCAACCACTGCGCCACCAGGGAAGCCCTATTTTTAATTTTTAAAGGAACCTCCATACTGTCCTCCATAGTGGCTGCACCAATTTACATTCCCACCAACAGTGTAGGAGGGTTCCCTTTTCTCCACATCGTCTCCAGCGTTTATTGTTTGTAGACTTTTTGATGATAGCCATTCTGACCTCACACCTCATTCTTAACATCACTTCTTCCAGGACATCTTTTGCAACACCATAAGTCTGAGTTTTATGCTCCTCCTAAATGCTCCCATAGCACCCTGTAGTTCCCCCATCTTGACACTTGTTTTCCCTGTAAAATTGTAAGCTCTATGAGGACATAGGCAGACTATGCATGTTTTGTTCACTGTGGTAGCCCCAGTGCCTAGCATAGCGCCTGGAGTATAGTAAATTGACTGAGTGATTAAAATTTATTTGTAGTCAAAATTCACAAGTCTTTTTTGCTACCCTACTCAGATTGTTCTAGTAGTAGCTATTCAGGGAAAATAAAGCTTTAAGTTTGTCTTCATTAGATACGTAAAGCCCTATTCAAGTATGCCTTGTTTATATTTATTCATCTTGTGACTGTTTTATAAAATTTTAAATTCACAAAAGTTCAACATAAATGAGCTTATAAAACTTTTTCCATATAGAATTAATTTATGTAAGTCATATTTATAATGCATATTATCCATATTGGGTTCAAACTTCTATTTGTTATTTTCAAAAGGCAGAATTAAATAGGAAAGTGTAGAAATGAATTTACAAGCTTAATCAAAACACTCAGAGATAGTGGTAGTACTCTAAAAAGAATGGTGTTAATTCTATATTTTTCTCTGTTTCTCTGCAGATTAAAGCTAAAAATTATGACAAGGTCGAAAAGGTGAGTCCTCTTAAATATTTTGAATGTATGCTGAAGTTTAATTTAGGACTTAACGTATATAAGGCAAATACAGTAAAATGTTAACAATTGTTGAATCTAGCTAGTGATTATATAGGAGTTCATTGTACTTATTCAGCCCTTTTGTATGCTTGAAAATGTTCATAATAAAATCTTGGGGGAATTCCCTGGTGGCACAGTGGTTAAGAATCCGCCTGCCAATGCAGGGGACACAGGTTCGAGCTCTGGTCTGGGAAGATCCCACATGCCACGGAGCACCTAAGCCTGTGTGCCACAACTACTGAGCCTGTGCTCTACAGCTCGTGAGCCACAACTACTGAAGCCTGTGTGCCTAGAGCCTGTGCTCTGCAACAAGAGAAGCCACCGCAATGAGAAGCCTGCGCACAGCAACAAAGAGTAACCCCGCTCACTGCAGCTAGAGAAAGCCTGCACGCAGCAATGAAGACCCAACACAAAAATAAAAAAATAAATAAATTTTTAAAAATAAAATAAAATTTTGGAAAAGAAAATAATTAGACTCTGCTGACCAAAATTATGAGAATGATTTTGATTATCTAAACAAAATAGAGGGAGTTGTTATTTGACATCTATTTGTAAGAAGATAAATTTATGAAAGGAGCTGAATTTGTTTCTTTAATGTTTCATTTCAGCTATGTACATGTGAAATTTATTTAACTGTGGATTCTGATAATATTTTATTGTATTTACAGCTATTTCAGAGATGCCTTATGAAGGTTTTGCACATTGACTTATGGAAGTGTTATCTTTCATATGTCCGAGAAACCAAGGGTAAACTACCAAGTTACAAGTAAGTTAAATCAGGAGCTTAAGAATGCAAGTCATCCCGAGGCACACAGTCAATCCCATAGAAACTCACACCTCTTAACTCCAGAGGGTGAAGCAACTTAAGGTTTGAAAAGTCAGGATTCTCTGAGAAGTCAGTAAACCATGGAAAAAAATGCTTCAAAGAAAGCCACTGGCATTAGATTTATTCTGGAGAATTGAATCATCCAAGCCCCTCTTCTATATTGAAACACTGTACATTTGCAACTCCAAAGCACTTTGTTGACAGGCTTGTTGACAAACTTTAATAAAAAGCATCTTATTAATTGTCATGGCACCACTCCTGGCAGGTTACATTGTAATATGCTACTTAAGTATTCCAAGGCATCTTTGACAATGGTATTGTTGTATATTTGACCTCCTCACTAGGACTTACCCCCACCTATCTATCTTTGTTGAATCCACATAATGGACCTTCTCAAATGCTGTTTTTGTATATGACAAATAGGCAGATTATTTCTATAACCAGAATTCTATCTTTGTTTTTTTTTTCTTCATTATTGTTTATTATCTTACACTGAAGAAGTTCTTTCTCCCTAAATTTTATGTCAGAGCTAATAGATCTTTAGACATAACTTACCTTCTTAATCAAAGAACCAGATATTTCCACATTTGAATCTTCTACATGTAAGATTAGGCAATTTAAAGGCTATAAAGAGGGGACTTCCCTGATGGTCCAGTGGTTAAGACTTTGCCTTCCAATGCAGGGAGTGCAGGTTTGATCCCTGGTCGGGGAGCTAAGATCCCACATGCGTGGCCAAAAAACCAAAACATAAAACAGAAGCAATATTGTAACAAATTCAATAAGGACTTTAAAAATGGTCCACATCAAAAAAAAGTCTTAAAAAATTAATAAATGATAGAAAGATAAATAAAACATGGCCTCTATCTTTGATAAGCTTACAAGTAGTAGGTAAAAGAAACAAAGTACATAATGACATTGACAAGCTAAACACAAAAGAACTTAGTCTTTATATTTTGTTTTTATACTTGCAAAGATGTCTTTACATTTTGTTTGTATAAGCGGTTTAAATGCTGTTCTGATCATATGATCAGAAATCATGATTATGTTTTAGCTGTAGATACATTTTAATAACATGCAATTTTTTCTATAAGAAACATGTCTTTCATGTTTATTTCAGAGAAAAAATGGCTCAAGCATATGACTTTGCACTGGATAAAATTGGAATGGAAATTATGTCTTATCAGGTAGAGTTAAATTTTTTTTAATACATACGTTTAAAAAATTTGAAACTACAAAGAAAGATACTAACATTTTATTTTATTTCTTAGATTTGGGTGGATTACATCAATTTCTTAAAAGGCGTGTAAGTATTTTTATAGTTTTATTTTCTGTGTGAACAGTTGATTTAGCTATAATATAATTGATGGCATTTCTTACCCAATGCCAGGGAAGCTGTTGGATCTTATGCAGAAAATCAGAGAATAACAGCTGTTCGAAGAGTTTATCAACGAGGTTGTGTTAATCCCATGATCAACATTGAACAACTGTGGAGAGACTATAACAAGTATGAAGAGGTAAATTAGGCCACAGTAATTTATTATTATGACCAAGCCATTTAAATTTTTATGCACTGTGGATTTGTGGAGGCTAGCCTTTCTAATATCAGGTACCTGGATATCAGTGCTGCATACGTTTGTTTTCATATTGATTGTAATGAAAGAACCATTCCTAATGTTTTGAGAGTCTCATTTTACTGTTGAGTTATTTTTAGAGAATACTCTGGGAGAATTATAATTCTTACCAAACCATTTTTAATCAGTGCTAAACCATATCCACACAGTCATACACACACATGTTGCCACTGATCTCTTATGAAACAGTTCCTTTTTAGAACTGCTTTTCTAGTAGTAATGATGAGTTGCAATGCCCCTCTTTCACCTGGTTACAGTGATGTGATTATTCCCTTGTAATTGTGAGATGTAGAGCTGTGGTCCAAGATCTTTGTCTCATAAGAAAATGATTTAACAAACTGAACTAAAAAGCCCATTATGTAAACATACATGCCAAGTAAGCTGTATCTTTAAAAGAAAGTTCCTCACATGTCCACTGTGATTTGGAAGAACTATGTAGGGTATTGAAACTGTTCCCTCATAGGCATGAGCAATGGTTCTCAAACATTTTGGTCTTGGGATTTTAAAAAGTATTAAAGACCGCAAAGAACTTTTAATTTTAATGTGGCTTTTACCTATGAATATTTAGCATATTGGAATTAAAACTGAGAAAGTTTCAAGATATTTATTAATTCATTTAAAGTTTGCAGTAGTAGACTCCTTATATTTTAACATAAATAGTATTAAAACAAATATTTTCCAAAATAAGAAAAAATTCAGTGAGAAGAGTGGCATTATTTCATATTTTTGCAAATCTCTTTGGTATTTAGCTTAATAGAAGACAGATTTTCATATCTGCTTCTAAATTCTATCTGCTATGCTGTTGAATGTCACATAGCTTCTGAAAAACTCCACTGTATATTTGTGAGAGAGGCAAATCATGTCTTAGTATTGTTTGAAAATTGTTTTGATCTTATGGATCCTCTGAAAGGGTCTTGGGGAACAGGAAGCTTTGGACTACTCTTTGAGAACTACTCGGCATGAATGATAATGTTTATGTCTCCTTGCTACCTCTGCATTTATTATTTATTTATTTATTTATATTTTTTATTTGTATTTTTTTATTTTTTGCGTTACGCGGGCCTCTCACTGTTGTGGCCTCTTCTGTTGTGGAGCACAGGCTCCGGACGCACAGGCTCAGCGGCCATGGCTCACGGGCCCAGCCGCTCCGCAGCATGTGGGATCTTCCCGGACCGGGGCACGAACCCGTGTCCCCTGCATCGGCAGGTGGACTCTCAACCACTGCGCCACCAGGGAAGCCCTATTTTTTATTTATTTTTTAAAATTTATTTTATTTATATATTTATTTTTGGCTGCATTGGGTCTCCAATGCTGCGCACGGGCTTTCTCTAGTTGCAGTGAGCGGGGGCTACTCTTCGTTGCGGTGCGCAGGCTTCTCATTGCGGTGGCTTCTCTTGTTGCGGAGCACAGGCTTTAGGCATGCAGGCTTCAGTAGTTGTGGCACGCGGGCTCAGTAGTTGTGGTGCACGGGCTTAGTTGCTCTGCAGCATGTGGGATCTTCCCAGACCAGGACTTGAACCCATGTCCCCTGCATTGGCAGGCGGATGGATTCTTACCACTGCGCCACCAGGGAAGTCCTGTATATCATTCTTTATTAGTAGAATTTTATGTGAAATAATTGGTCCTTTCCAAATCATTCCCTCTCTTTAGAAATTCCTGACATATGGAAACTTACTGCCATCTCATAACACATAGGCAGATCCTCCTTCATCTCTTAAGCATATAATGTGATCAAACCTTTATTTTACTAACCAAAAAGCCTCTTAAACACTTTAAAGTAATTTAGCAAATGAATATACTATATTATGCTAACATTAAAATATATTTAATTTTCAAATAATATGCATTTTTCTTTTTTTTTTCCTTAGGGTATCAATATTCATTTAGCTAAAAAAATGATTGAAGATCGGAGTAGGGATTACATGAATGCTAGGCGGGTAGCAAAGGTATGGAATTCTATCAGGACACTTACTATATTGTTTGTTGTGAGTATGTTATTTACACAGGCGCTTTCTCTATCTGGTATTACTCTTAATATTTTCAATCATTAGCAGTCTTAACTAATGACAATTAATTACGTTGTCTGAGCAGGTGATTATTTGAAGCAAAATACCTCTTTACAGACATGTTAAAGGACAAAATAGAATAAATCAAGTTTGGAAGAAATTATTTTTTAAAATATAGAAACAGAGGTCATAGAGACAAAGTTCTACCTAGAATTGATCAAGTAGTTGTTATCCATCCCTCCTGTCGGCTCATACATATCCGAATACTGTAATAATTTGTGGTCTAATGACATAGCTATCAGGGACCGAGTTTTGTCTTGTGTACATAACTTTCCATTCATTGACACTGTTAGAAGTTAGGGAAAATAGCCTAGACTATGAACTATTGAAATTTTAAAAGACAGATAATTTCTCCAAAGGTGGCAGTAACAGTGCCACCAGATCATCAGTCATGTTGATCTGTCAACTCCTCTGTCCTGAAGAGTGACTTCCTAGATCACCTCCAGAGAGGGCCCAGGGCTGTTCTGTTCACCCAGTCCTGGGAACCTCTTCTTGGGTAGGTAATCTTCTGTTATCTTTATTCCTGCTCTTAAATAGTTTTTAGGTTATATTAACAAAGTAGTATTTGGAAAAACTAGGCATTTTGAACAAAGTATTCCAAACAGATCAACTCCATTTCATACATCTGAGTTGTTCCTCAGCTTACCACAGAATTCTAAATACTTGTTGTCTAGGAATATGAGACAGTAATGAAAGGTTTGGACCGCAATGCTCCCTCAGTGCCTCCTCAGAATACTCCTCAAGAAGCTCAGCAGGTAGATATGTGGAAGAAATACATACAGTGGGAAAAGAGCAACCCTCTTCGTACAGAAGATCAGACTCTTATAACTAAAAGAGGTAACAAGACTAACCCTTCTGGGACTCCAATTATGTGTATGTTAGGCCACTTGATATTATCCCATAGGTTACCGAGGCTGTTTTTTACTCCCAGTCTTTTTTTCTCTTATGTTCTTCAGATTCAGTAATTTCTATAGATCTGTCTCCATGTTCACTGACCTTTGCTTTATCATATCCAATATGCTGGTGAGCCCATCTAGTGAATTCTTCATTTCAAATATTCTACTTTTCAGTTGTATAAATTTCCATTCTAGAAATTTTTATGTTTTTTATAGTTTTCCTTTTTCTGTTAAGATTCCATGGCCAATACCATCTTTTTCTTTATATCCTTGAACATTTTTATAACATTAGTTATAAAATCCTCGTCTGCTAATTCCAACATCTGAGCCATTGTGGTGTTGATTTCTTTTCCTCTTGACATTTTTTGTTTTGTCACAAGTCTAGACATTTAAAAAAAATTTTGGACATTGTACAGATGTGTAAATGATACATAGTAAAGACTAGATTCTGTTATCTTCCTCGGAAGAATGTTGAGTTTTCTTTTAGCAAGGAGTTAAATTACTGGCAGGTCTCCTGGACCTTGTGGAGGCTTGGTTTTACACTGTTAGGATGAGTCTCTGTTAGTAGCCTTCATCTCACAGTAAATCTCTTAGTCCTGGGATATAGTCTTTACTCCCAAGATATAATGGAAAGTTCAAGGTGTTTACTCAGACTCTCTTAACTTGATGGGACTCAGATTCCAGACTTGGTCTCCATTACAGTGGGCAGCTGATGAGATATCTATCCAGCTCTTTCAGCTTTGCTTTCTGCTCTGGCTGTTTGTATTCTTTCCTGTGTATGTCTATTTTAGAGTCAGTTGAAGATTTGAGGGCATTAGGCCCAGATTTTCAGCCTCCACCTTCTGTGGCTCTCTTTTGGGGGGATCTTCCCCCTTAATTTCCAGCTGTTCTTGTAACCCAGAACTCCATGTTACCTACCTCAAGCCAGTAAGACTTCAGCATTTGGCTTGAGTTCTAGCTATCCCAGAACTATACACATAGGGGTTTACACTTGAGTGAAAAAGCCATATTAAATATATATCTCACCTAGTATGATTCCAATTTTTTAAGGGCTCAGTCCTCTCCAGTTTCTTTTTCTTTTGGTCATTCTCTAGTGCCTTTAAACCGTTGCTTTTTGTATTTTTCAGTTTATGATTTTTTTTTTCAGGAGAGTTAGTCTGATACAGACTACTCTGGCACTGTCAGAACTAGAATTTGGAACTTAAAAAAAAAAAATTCCTCAATCTTGCCTTGCTCTCTCAGCTGGAGGCCTTTGCAAGTACTGTTTCCTTTGCCTACACCATTTTTGTATCTACTCCTGTCCTTCCTGCCTCTACTTACTCTCTCATCTGACCAGATTCTACCCCTTCTTCAGGTTTCACTTAGATATCAGTTCCTTAGTGAAACCTTTCTTGAGTCTCTAAACTATGTTAAGTCCTGCTGCTGTAAGTTTCAAGAGTACACTCTACTTTCCTCATCATAATACTTATCACTTACCATAACTGCATTCTTAATATCGATCTTCCCACTATACTGCAGACTTCTTTTGAGTATAGGAAGTCTTATTTACTGGTATATTCACAGTGTCTTTCACATTCCCTAGCATATAGTTGGTACTCAATAAATATTAATTTCATAAATGATGAATGGATGGGGTTTGGGTGGATGATAATGCCAGAAATCACTAAAGTTTTTTAATTTCCAATTATCATTCATTACTGAGGGCTCTGTCTTAGCCTAAAAATTGAGTTGTGACGCTTGTATTGATAGTTTTGTAAATAATATTTATTCTAATTGAATGTTGCAAATGTCTTCCCTTAGTTATGTTTGCTTATGAACAGTGCCTGCTTGTGCTGGGCCATCACCCTGATATTTGGTATGAAGCTGCCCAGTATCTTGAGCAGTCAAGTAAACTGTTAGCAGAGAAAGGGGTGAGTATTTATTTGTTTCTCCCTTTTGGTCTTTTCATGGTTTTGATATAGCAATAATTTGCTAAAAGTATAGCACTGAATTTTGGTCATGAAGTGTAGGTATTGAAAATTTTAATCTTATGTCACTATGAATCTTAGTGACTCTCTTATATGATTAGACTACCTTAGTCAGAATTAAAATGTAGTGGCTCTTCTTTAATGTATTAAAGTGATGAATCATTTAGAGTACTTCTATGATTCTTCTTTATGTTAAAATAATGGAAAAAGTCTTCGGAATTTTTTTTTTATATTTATTTACTTATTTATTTATTTGGTTGCACCAGGTCTTAGTTGCAGCACGTGGGCTCCTTAATTGCAGCAGGAGGGTTCCTTAGTTGTGGCATGTGAACTCTTAGTTGTGACATGCATGTGGGATCTAGTTCCCTGACCAGGGATTGAACCTGGGCCCCCTGCATTGGGAGCACAGAGTCTTATCTACTGTACCACCAGGGAAGTCCTTAGGATTTCTTAAGAATCCAGAAATGCATGTGTCCATAGGTATAAACATATGAGTGTGTGTTTTATTCTTTCAGCTTTATTGAAATTATTGTAAGTGAGCTTTCTCTTTTCTCTCCTAGGATATGAATAATGCCAAATTATTTAGTGATGAAGCTGCTAATATATATGAAAGAGCCATAAGCACTTTATTAAAGAAGAATATGCTTCTTTATTTTGCATATGCAGATTATGAAGAGGTGAGTTAAAATATTTAGAACTTTCTTGTAATTGGATTTTTTACTGCAGCACTGAATTTTTTTCTGGCTGCTTCTTTGCCAGGCATACTACTTTTGGAAGACAGAGATAATGCAGAATGAACAGTTATTAGTCCTTAGCTCATTATATATTTATGCTCAAAGCAGATGCCTTTGTGGGGTGCAGCCTCTGGATTCCTCAGAGCTCAAATGCTGATTGTTTATGAATATATATTTATATCCACTTCTTCTCTACCACCTTAGAGTCGCATGAAGTATGAGAAAGTTCACAGTATATATAACAGACTTCTGGCAATTGAGGATATTGACCCCACCTTGGTAAGTAACTTTACAAGTCTCTTTCCCACTTTTGCAGTCTGCTTTAATTTAAAAAAAAATTAATTTACATAAAGTAAAATTCACTGTTTTTGTTGAATTGTTAGTTCTATGAATCTTGACCAATAACATAGCGTTATGGGACAACCATCACAATTAAAATACAAAACACTTCAATCACCCCACAGAAATTCCCTCATGTGACCCCCTTGTAGTCACCCCTTCCCTGTCTCCCAGCCCAACAATTGCAGATGTGCTCTCTGCTCGTTTCTTCTGCTGTTGTTTGTAAGTGCAGCGCTATGAACCAGCCACAGTGGGGCTTTCTCTAACACCTTCCTTGTGAGCATGGCTTGACTACCACATAATTGTTGCTTAATAAATATTTCTTTTTAAATAAATGGAGGCAGGAGAAACCAACATTCTGGGAAGCAGTTGGACAAGAACTCACTTTATCCTGAATTCAACTCTGTAATTGTGGTTTTCAAAGCCCTGAATTTCTGCAAAAGTGCAGCAGAGCTCTTTCAGTGGGAGGGGAAGGGGAGGGGCCAATGCGTGGGGCTCTAGACCCTCTGCCTCAAGTCAACTACAGCTATACTCCTTTTTTTGTCTGTTTATCATGGGATTCCACTGCTCTAATTGCTTGCATTTAGTCATCATTTTAAAATTCATTTAGCAAACTGATCTGTGCTATGCACTGTGCTAGATTCCAGCAGTATGATGACACATAAGTAAAATTCCTTTCCTCAAGGAACTCATAGTTCATTCATCCATCTATTCATCTGTCTAAACTGGGCAATGTAGTTTGACATCATCAAAACTGAGCAAATCAGGACCCTGCTCATAGTCACCCTGTGTACAGTCCAGAGATGTTTTCTCATTGAACAAATATTGCATACTCATCATGTGTTGGGCACTCTGTAGGTGCTAAGTATAAAATGAATCAAATAGTTTATCAATAAAGTTACATTATATGGTCTTTAGGAAATAGAGTAGTGGGCTTTTAAAAGTAATAAATCAAGAAATACTAGCGTTTTCTAGTATTTTCACTTTTATTCCTTCCTTAAGATTTAATTTGCATGTTCTGGAATTAGATAATTGTGATGACTGCAAAACCTTGTGAACATACTAAAAATCGTTAAATTATACATTTAAAGGGTGAATTTTGTGCTATGTGAATTATATCTCAATTAAAATATTAATTTGCACGTCTTTAATACCAGAAAAAATTTGCTTGTGGATTTAAATAGTACACTATCTATAATCTTTTTTATTTCTCAAGTATTCAAAATTGCTTCCTTATACAGCAAAACGTGTTAGTACTGAAGTAAGGTGAACCTGTATGGGATGCTACAGGGTTCACGTTTTGCCTAGTCTGTAGAAAACAAATACTTTTTTTGTGTAGGTATATATCCAATATATGAAATTTGCAAGAAGAGCAGAAGGTATTAAATCTGGAAGAATGATATTTAAAAAAGCAAGAGAAGATACCAGAACCCGCCACCATGTCTATGTTACTGCAGCACTCATGGAGTATTATTGTAGTAAGGTAAGTCCTCAAATAAAATATAAAGATAAAATAATTTCCTTCATATGAGATAAATTAATTAAAAGAAAGGCAGTCCTAATTTCTGTCATTAAGTTTTATTATTTATTTATTTATTTATATCTATCTGGTTTTTTGGCCACGTTGGTCTTCTTTGCTACGCGCGGGCTTTCTCCAGCTGCAGCGAGTGGGGGCTACTCTGCCTGTTAGTTTATACCTTATTAAACTCCATATTTATGAATCTGAATCCCCTTGAATGGTTTTTAGCTCTGTAATTTTTACTTAACATAATTTTAATCTCCATTTTAATTCTTAATATACCTTGTCATATTTAGATGTTATAGTTTTAATATTCTTTGAGTATCTTGTCTGACACTGCATGGAAATCAGTAGTTTCCTCTCTACTTCTAGGACAAATCTGTTGCCTTTAAGATTTTTGAGCTGGGGCTAAAGAAATATGGAGACATTCCAGAATATGTCCTGGCCTATATTGACTATCTTTCTCACCTCAATGGTAAGTAGATTCTAGATCTGTAATGGTTACTTAATATTAAACCATCAATGTCATTCTCTGAAATTATGTTGCTGGGTTTTTTTCTTTCTCAAGTGTATTATATTCTGTCATCACACCAGAACCAGGCACTTGATAGGCACTCAAATATTTGTGGCCTGTCAACTATGAATTTATACTTATTGTATAATGGTTGATGCCTTTTGATTCTGCAGAATGGTCTTTAATTTAGCATCAAAGTCCCAACAGTAATAGGGTAAAGCCACAAATCTCTAGCCACGAAAACTCAAAGATGCCCAAGTAGTAAACTGCTTTGAGGCTACTGGGGAAGATATTTCAAAGGAAACATTATGTTTATAAGCATCTTTATTTTCCTATTTTGTTGTAATAATAATGACCATCTTTTATTGAGTTCCTACCTTATACCAGGCACTAGGCTAGAGGATCTGTATATTTATGTATGTATCTTATTTAGTGTAGTTAACCACAGTCCAGGATATGTAATTTCTTGACTAAAAATGATCTGGTTTAAAAACTGATTTAAGAAAGAAATATGAAATTATGTGCCATGTAAATAATTAGATGTAAATTAGATATCACAGGTAAATATTAGTGATTTTAATGATATTTTAGAAAAATGTAGCATTCTGTATACCTAAATAGTAGAAAAGAATAAAACTTAAACATGATTTTATATTTCAGCTTAGTGATTCTACTCTCTGGAAAAGGACTTAACTCCAAAAAGTGAGGCAGTGGAGCATTTAAGATTTTTGAGCTGAGGCTAAAGAAAATTTTCATATAATTTTCTTGTATGAAATGAATGTTCCTTACCAGTTTTATATTGTTTTGCTTGATTTTTTAGAATAGTTACTAAGATGTACAATATTTTACTCTAAAATTGAGGATGAACTCTGATGTCAGCATTATTATCTTCTAAAATCAGTGTCTTAGTTTGTTTATTCATCAACCCATCATTTATTCAGTAGCTTTGGTTAGTAAGGTCTGGAAATACAAGAATAGGACTCCATTGTTACCCTCAGAGTATTCTCCTGGGGAAATCAGATGTGTAAACATAATTGCATCATCATTTGATTCTTAATTGTGGCATAAATTCTGGGGTTAGGTGTATAATGGTGTTTCAGATTTCTCATCTGCAGAATGGTTATAATAAGAGTACCTTTCATTGGACTGTTGAGATAATTAAATGAACTTTTGCATGTATTTGACTTATATATGGAATGTGGTAAGCATACAATAAATGTTAACTATTTAAGCTGATGGTGGCAGTCATGAAAAGCATGTGCTAAATTCTGTAATAGAGCCCTGAATGAATTACTTTGGAAGCACAGAGAGGAGCGTGTAATCTAAGTTCCAGAGCTGTGCTATGCAATTATGGTAGCCACTAGACTACTAAGTTTTGAGCCCTTGAATTGTGACTAGGCCAAAATGAGATGTGATGTAAGTTAAAATACATACTGACTTCAAAGAGATAGTAGAAAAGAAATGTAAAATATCTTAATAATTTTTCACATTGATTATATGTTGAAATGATAATTTAGATATTTAGGTTAAATAAAATAAATTAAAATTAATTTCACCTGTTTTTATATTTTTATTTTTGTTTGTTTTTATTCTTTTAAATGTGGCTAGCAGCAAATTTAAATTATTGGATAGTGCTGTTCTAGAGGGTGAGAGAAGGCAGCATGAGATGGGTCTTGAAGGACAAGTAATCATTTTCCTAAAGATACAGGAAAATTCATTATTCCAGGAGAACACAGCATGTAATAAGCAGTGGAAAGTTATGTGGAATGGCAAAAAGTGTGTCTGGAGCAAAGCTTGGAATAAAGCTAAAAGAATAAAATGCAGGATTTACTTATTTCTTTAAGTACAGTATGTTAAGTTGAAGATGAAAGTCATGAATATGGTGCCATCTTCTTTGGTTCAATACATGTAATCTCTTGGTTTGACTTTGCATATTATGGACATGTGGTAAAACTGAATAACTGCCCTGCGACAGTAAAAGCCAACTACTCTGTTGGATTTGAACAGTTTTATTGAGGCATAATTTATATACCATAAATGCACCCATTTAAAATATGCAGTTCAGGGGCTTCCCTGGTGGCGCAGTGGTTGAGAGTCCGCCTGCCAATGCAGGGGACACGGGTTCGTGCCCCGGTCCGGGAGGATCCCACATGCCGCGGAGCGGCTGGGCCCGTGAGGCATGGCCGCTGAGCCTGCGCGTCTGGAGCCTGTGCTCTGCAACGGGAGAGGCCACAGCAGTGAGAGGCCCGCGTACCGCAAAAAATAAATAAATAAATAAATAAATAAATAAATAAATAAAATATGCAGTTCAAAGAGTGTTAGTAAATTTACTACTAGATTCTTAAATTTTAATAGATCCCTTAGAGCTTAGCAAGAAGTGTCATTTTCCACTTCCAACTACAGACCTCCCGAGACTCTTAAATTTTAATCCACCTCTGGTGACCATTCTTATTCATATTCCATTTGCATATTTATCTACTAATCTAGATATGGTACCTATATAAGAATTTAAAGTAGTTAAATATAGAGTAGTCCTGGTACTGCAAAATAAGAAAATCAAATATCTAAATTTGAGCTTGTCATCCTCCACATTCAGTGTATTTAAAAAATATCAATAGTTTGTTGCTTATAATGTCAACAGGTATGCAATTTTCATTATTTAAAAAAAAATGAGATACCCGATTCAGATATCACACTTATAAATTGTTTGACATTACAACTACACTATACTATAGAAGGAGGGCTAAACTAGAGGTAAAAAGACCTGGCTTCTAGTTATGGCTCTATTACTCAGTAACTGTGAGCCACATCAACTCACTTCATCTTTTTGAACCTCAAGCTTCCTCATCTATAAGTATTGGGTGTGATAATAGATCTCTCTGCATAGGATTTTTGTGAGGATTAAGTGAGACAATGCATTGTTTAATTATAAAACTGAATTTTTAAAAATATTTAAAATCTTCTTTAATATCCTAGAGGACAATAATACTCGAGTTTTGTTTGAACGAGTTTTAACATCTGGAAGTCTTCCACCTGAGAAGTCTGGGTAAGCCATTTTGGAAACTTACTGGTCGGGTTCTAATATTTGAATTGTGGTCTATGGGATGAACATTTGCTTGTTGTGACTATACGTTCCAGGAGAAATTTCCCTTCTCTCTTGAAGCTTAATTTACAAATGCCTGCCTTGCCATATTTTCATACCTGTTTAAGATTTGTTAAAAAAATTTTTTGCATACTGACTAGGATTATTTTGAGAGATGCCTTAGCAATTTATTATTAAATATTTTAATATACCTTGCTATATATCCCTAGAAATTTATATGAACTAGAGAAGAATTCTGAAATAGTTACTTCTTACTCGAGAGCAAAGACTCTGACAAAATGAAAATTTGTTTGACAAATTATATCCCTGATTTATGGTTTTGACTCTGTCAGTTTTACAGGAGGAACAATATGGTATAGTGGTACAGTGAAAGTAGTAAGGCTTTGGAGTCTTGGGTTCAAATTCCAGCTCAGGCAACTACACCTTGGGCATATTTCCTCACTCTTGCCAGTCCTTACGTTCTTGTCAAGTAGCAATAATGTCTACCAGTATAGGAATTTTGCAATAGTCCTCTACCTAGTATATAATAGGAACTCAGTGCATTACTTTACTACAAAGGTGCTTACTGACATTTATTTATTTATTTATTTATTTAACATCTTTTTTGGAGTATAATTGCTTTACAATGGTGTGTTAGTTTCTGCTTTATAGCAAAGTGAATCAGCTATACATATATCCCCATATCTCCTCCCTCTTATGTCTCCCTCCCACCCTCCCTATCTCACTCCTCTAGGTCGTCACAAAGCACCGAGCTGATATCCCTGTGCTATGCAGCTGTTTCCCACTAGCTATCTATTTTACACTTGGTAGTGTATATATGTCCATGCCAGTCTCTCACTTCGTCCCAGCTTACCCTTCCCCCTCCCCGTGTCCTCAAGTCCATTCTCTATGTCTGTGTCTTTATTCCTATCCTGCCCCTAGGTTCATCAGAACCTTTTTTTTTTTAGATTCCATGTATATGTGTTAGCATATGGTATTTGTTTTTCTCTTTCTGACTTACTTCACTCTGTATGACAGACTCTAGGTCCATCCACCTCACTACAAATAACTCAATTTCATTTCTTTTTATGGCTAATATTCCATTGTATATATGTGCCACAACTTCTTTATCCATTCATCTGTCGATGGACACTTAGGTTGCTTCCATGTCCTGGCTATTGTAAGTAGTGCTGCAGTGAACATTGTAGTACATGACTCTTTTTGAATTATGGTTTTCTCAGGGTATATGCCCAGTAGTGGGATTGCTGGGTCATATAATAGTTCTATTTTTAGTTTTTTAAGGAAACTCCATACTGTTCTCCATAGTGGCTGTATCAATTTACATTCCCCCCAACAGTGCAAGAGGGTTCCCTTTTCTCCACACCCTCTCCAGCATTTATTGTTTGTAGATTTTTTGATGATGGCCATTCTGACCGGTGTGAGGTGATACCTCATTGTAGATTTTTTTTTAAGTTTTTTTTAATTAATTTATTTCATTTATTTATTTTTGGCCGTGTTGGGTCTTCGTTGCTGCGTGTGGGCTTTCTCTAGTTGTGCGTACTCTTCGTTGCGATGCGCAGGCTTCTCACTACGGTGGCCTTTCTTGTTGCGGAGCACGATCTGTAGGCATGTGGGCTTCAGTAGTTGAAGCACGCAGGCTCAGTAGTTGTGGCGCATGGGCCTAGCTGCTGCACGGCATGTGGGATCTTCCTGGACCAGGGCTCAAACCCGTGTCCCCTGCATTGGCAGGTGGATTCTTAACCACTGTGCCACCAGGGAAGCCCTCATTGTAGTTTTGGCTTGCATTTCTCTAATGATTAGTGATGTTGAGGATCCTTTCATGCGTTTATTGGCAATCTGTATATCTTCTATGGAGAAATGTCTATTTAGGTCTTCTGCCCATTTTTGGACTGGGTTGTTTGTTTGATATTGAGCTGCATGAGCCTTACTGATATTTAAGTAAGTATCAGTAAGTAAGTATTAAGTAAGCCTTACTGATATCTACTTACTCTCTAAGTAGAGTCTTAAGAGAATTAATTTTGGCTGTTAGAAAAGTGGTGAGGCACAAATTTGTCCCCAACGATCCGTATTAATGGGAAAAAATAGAGAGCATGTTAGATTTCAAAATATATTTTTATTCATATGTTGCCCCAAGAATGTATTCTACATTTTAATTCATGCGACTACAAAATGGTGAAGCCACATTATTCAGGAGAAACTGGAAATCTGTCTAGGTTCCTTTTTCAACTCTTCCACCTAGAGTTTACTCTCTCTAGTGTAAATGTCTCTCTTATTGGCCACAAAGGATAGGAAGGTATGCTAAATAAGTAAAAACTCAAAAAAAAAGCCTTAAATATGAAAGTATTTAGGGTAAAGGGTTATGATACTGTAATTTACTTTCAAATACTTAAGCAAAAATAAGATGAAGCAAATATGGCAAAGTATTAATAATGATTAAATCTAGGTTATGGTATATAGGCATTCATTATACTACTATATTTTTCTGAAGTTTGGAAATCTTTATAATAACAAAAAGAGAGATTTGTATAATTTAAAAAAAAAAAGGGAGGAAGGGAACTTAAAGATTTTTTGTAAGCCTCAAACCCAGAATAGTAAAGTATTGATTATATTTATTTTCTTACAGAGAAATCTGGGCCCGATTTTTAGCTTTTGAAAGTAATATTGGTGATCTAGCTAGTATACTCAAAGTGGAGAAAAGACGGTTTACAGCATTCAAAGAAGAGTATGAAGGCAAAGAAACAGCTTTACTGGTAGATAGATACAAGTTCATGGATTTATATCCTTGCTCTGCAAGTGAACTAAAAGCGCTTGGGTATAAGGTATGTACTTGGGCTCAAGATGTGTGTAGTGTCTTTACTTTCCTAATGTTTTAGAATAGTTCATGGATAAACTTCACTCTAAAGTAAATTCTGAAATAGAAATTAATCGAGCTTTAGAATAGATTTGCAGAATAGAAAAAAGTTCAGGGATTTTCCTTGGGTTTGTGAAATATTGACTATCAACAATACTGAACAAAATGAGAATTAAAATGAGATTTAACAAACTTTCTTTCCTGGAAATTGTTAATGCCTTATATCTTATGTCTTGTGGGCAGATGGAGGAGGTGGGTGAAGGAAGAAAAACAAAAGAAAATCTGAATGTCACTTAGGTTAGTTTTTCTCTAATAGCTCTTAAGACTGATGTGTGTGTTTTGACAGGAGATCATATATAGTAATTCCTGCTATATATTTTGTAGATATAATGAAGAAACATTATAGCTTATTAAATCCATAAAGTTCCTTGAAGGATTTGTATCTTTAAAACAGGGCTCCTTCAGTGGGGTCCTTTAGGAAATTAGCTTATCTAGGAATGGAACTCTTCTGTTTGGACTACTGAGTCATAAGGAAACAAATATGGAACCTGAACTCATTCAGGCCAAGGGGAAAGATTAATGTTTACACACTCCTAGAAATAGCCCTTTCTGAGAAGACCATTGTTCTATCATTTCTTGATTTTTCTGTGTCATGTGAACAAAGACCAAGATGGAAGCCCAAAGGGAAGCTATATCCACAAGAGTCCTCGATTGGTCCCCTTAAGCCAGCCGGCATTAGGATGTTCCTCACCATCACTCTGTATTTCCTCACTGCCCTCTTTTAGCCTGGGTCTCACTGGCTAAACCAGATTAAAATAAACTTCAGACCTTTTCATTAATGGAAGCTCCAGTTGTGTGCCAGCCCCATGTTCCTATTCTGAACTAAGGGGTTACTGCTCAGGGATCAGCAGGTTCTGCTTCTGGTTTAACTACTTCTTAATGAAAAGCCAAAGACATTTGAAGATTATATGGAATTTTTAGGCTATTTCAGCTTTGCCAAGATGAAAATGGAAATTAAGGAAGTTAATGAAAAGATCTTACTAAGTAGAACTACTTCTTGAATATGAATTTTCCATCTTGTATTCGTTTCTGTTCTTTTGTTTATTTGGAAAGGATTATTATGCTTTTGTGTGTCACACATAAGTGAGAGAGGGAAAGAAAGAAAAAAAAGTAATTCCCAGCAGGCATACTCATTTAGATCTGCCACCAAATGCATATGAGCAAACTTTGAGAATATGAAATTCTCTTATATCCCTTGATGGTGGCAAAAGAGGCTCTTTTGGTTTTAGACAGATTGACGCTGGTTACCTGTAGCAGAGGAACTTCTCTGGGATAGGGCCTCTTTAAGAGGTAGCATGTTGCTCCCTTTGACATATCTCAGAGGGTTGCTTTCAGCTTTGGCAGGCATTGCTGGGACACTGAAAAGAAGACTGGATGGGTGTGAGGTCAGAGAGGCCTGTGCTCTCAAATCCTCTCTCTGCTTCTTAGCCATCTAACATTGGAGACAGCAGAACCTCTTTTGAGTGTCAGCTTCTTCTGTAAAATGGAGGTGTTACTATTTGCCTCCTCAGAGAGGGAATAAATGGCAAAAACTGACAAATAGTGGTTGCTCAACAAACATTCCCTCTCCCCTATAACAGTATTTTGGGAGTAATTTTTCATTTCATTAGCAAAATCTTATGAACTAATGTAAGTGATGATAAGCTTTATGTTAGGTTTCATGAAACAGCACCTTACTTAATCCAGCTTCTTCACTTAGAGAACCTGGTAGATGATGTTCAATTTTAGTGGAAGGGAGATATCAGGAAAATATCTAAAACCGCAGATTTTCTTCCAAATTACCCCACCTCTACCTGGTATGTATTACCTACAAAAGGTTGTATCTATCCTACAAGTGTCCCACCTGGCGACACTGAGTCTAATGATTCTTAACACTGGTCTTTACAGCCCTTTAGCTTTCCTTGTTAACAACCTTTACTGTCATGGAAGTTCTCGCTTATCTTTCTCCATTCTCTCTATGGTTTTAACCCAGTTATTCACAGTGTATCCTCAAGATTGTAGAATTGCACGGTTATACTCTATAAGTCCCTTTTTCAGGTTTAGGATTCTTCTGTTCTGCATTTTCAGGATGTCTCCCGTGCTAAGCTAGCAGCTATAATTCCAGACCCAGTTGTAGCTCCTTCTATAGTGCCTGTTCTGAAAGATGAAGTGGATAGAAAACCAGAATACCCTAAACCAGACACTCAGCAGATGATTCCATTTCAGCCACGACATTTAGCACGTAAGCCATGACTTTAGATCCAGTACTGAGACCTCAGTTTGTTTGTTGGTTTAACTGGAGAGGTGTGGGGGGCAAAGTAATGTGACCTTTCCATTGTAGGTTAATAATTAGACTCAGGGTCACTGTGACAGGTGGTTTGGCTGTAATCTTTGAACCAAGATGAGTTTAAAATGTCTTAAAAAAGAAAAAAACAAAACCTCATTGATCCAGATTGCAGTAACCCATTTTGGCAGTGATACTTAAGACAGTTTTCAGAAATGCTGCTACATACAGATTACCTGCACAGCTGGAAACTTACTTTGGTGATGTTATTTGGTATTGTTTATACTTACTAATGGGTAGTAGCCTCTCTGGATTCTATTTGAACAGGGCCCTTATGATTAAATATGTTACTGTGTAAATGACTTTAAATGGGATTGCTGAAAAAATGACTTGTGAGGCTTAGGCATGATCTTTGACAAAAACTGACTAGCTCAGCGCCTGGGTTGCCTTATGCAAAGTCACTTGTTTACTTTTCTGCCTCCCAGTGGCCATGGGGTTGAGACTGCTTTCACTGTCTCACCCACTTGCGTTTGGTCAAACATATAAAGCACTAAAAACATTTTATGATGTCCAGAACAAAGCAACATGACTATTTGTACATAGTAATTTATGTACAGATTACTTACGTTGGTTCATTACATGTGCAGAAACTCTTCCATCCCATTTGATTCCTACTTTTCTTTCTTTTACAGCTCCGGGCTTACACCCTGTCCCTGGTGGAGTGTTCCCAGTACCACCTGCAGCAGTTGTTTTAATGAAACTTCTCCCTCCTCCTATTTGTTTCCAGGTTTGTTCACTATTTTCATGATAGATATTTGCTTTATGGGTAATTATAGTAATTGTGTGCTTTTTCTCTTATATCATGGGAAATGCAAAGTAGGGCTATTTTGTCAGATTATTGGGGATTAAATTTTCTTTGTGTCAAAATAGGGTCCTTTTGTACAAGTGGATGAACTGATGGAAATTTTCCGAAGATGCAAGATACCAAATAGTAAGTGATGAGTCTCCATTACTAGAGTGGAATTCACATTGTTGTTTCCTAGGCAGGAGAGACTGTCATTCTTTGGCACTGAAGTTTCCAAAACCAGCTAGCCATCTTGCAGAAGTACAGTGACACCTAGGAGGGATCCTTTGGATCTCTTTGGTACAGAGAGGCTTGTTCGTGTTCTTATTCTTCTAAGAAAAACATCATAAAAAGCGTATCTTTTCTATTCATGTGAACATGCACTATCAGGTTTGGCTTATGAAAATAATTTTATTAATTTTAACAGCAGCTTTTTTGTATTTAACTATTCAATAGTATCAGTAGTACTATCTCAGAATTTCCTAATAGGAGGCTACAAAATTATAAAGTATCCAAAGTAGTACATACATATTCCTTCACAGTAGCATACTTTTAAACATCCTCCAACAACAGTCCTTTTTGTTTTGCTTCAATAGCAGTTGAAGAAGCTGTGAGGATCATTACTGGAGGAGCCCCAGAGCTAGCTGTAGAAGGCAATGGCCCGGTGGAAAGTAATGCAGTACTCACCAAGGCTGTCAAAAGGCCCAACGAAGATTCAGACGAAGATGAGGAAAAGGGAGCTGTCGTTCCCCCTGTTCATGACATTTACAGAGCAAGGCAGCAGAAGCGAATTCGGTGAAGCAGGCACAGAACCTGCCTCAGAAAGAAAACTCCTATCCAGGATTCCTTTTGCCTCTTAAGTCATATGTTTAAAAGAGACAATGCTTTGTTACAAAGTTCTTGGAAACAAAGTTGTATTGTCATTGGTGCCTCTATTCATATGCTTCTTGAGAAAAACCAACCAACCTATGTGAATTTTAGGATTTGGAACAGACCTATGCTCTAAGAAAAATTAAGTTTTCAAAAATGTGAGAAGAGTACAAAGTGGCAGAACCACATTTTGTTCCCGCTTCAAGGGTGTCTTGTATGTACCACTTGAAGACTTGTGGGTTTTCAACAGTTTTATTTTAAAAACTGGATGGTTTATGATTGTAAAGCATTTTATCACATTTTCTGAAAACAACAGCTGTTCTTGGTTTGCTTATGTAGAGTCCTGCCTTATTGTTTGTTTTATTTATGGCAGAATGTACGGAATCGGTTTTGTAGTTTAAAATTTTAAAAAACAATCCTTTAGAAAATAAAAGGATCTCAAAAAGTCATGTCTCTTGCTGCTGCTTTCATTCAGATTTTATCTGAAATAGCTACTTACGTTATTTAGCCAATACTGTTTAAAACTAAAGGTCAACAATGTAAGGAAAAGTCATCCTGTATTTACTATATATACACTTAACTGTTGTCCTTTCCTGGTCTTTTTTGCTACTATTTGAAAACATGAGAGATCCATTTTTAAGAGGCAAATTAAACATTTTAGAAATCTTCAAATATGAATGCATTTTTCCCAAATTAAATCTGAAGGCGATAGACTGAGATATTTTATCTTTCATGTCTCTTAAAAGCAACATAAGTGTGGGAATTCCTTTAACCACTCGCTGTCTTGCTCTCACATAAATATATTTCAAAAAGTGCTCAGTATTCAAGAACATTTTTTTCATCAGCTAAACAAAGACAGCATTAAAGGAAACTACAGCCAAGTAACCAAAAACTAGCTACAGTGAGCAAAAACTTACCATAAAAATTAAAAGAATTAAGTTTTGCTCTTTTTTAGCAACGTTACTTCCTCTTGACTCATTTCTAGAAAACTAGACCAACAACTAGTTGAGCCTAAGGATTGTGATTCAGAATAAAAGCTAAAAATAAGGAAGGAAATAAGAGGAAAAGTACGAAGGCTATAAAGAGACAATCTTTGCACAATGGGTACACAATTTAGAATTTGAATTCAAGTGTGATTAAATATCAGCTTCAAATATTTCTATAAAACCTATAATAAAAGGTTATCTTGAATCACTTTCTTATATAAATTTATACATAGCAAGGTCATATTTACCTAAGTTGATCACAACCATATGTCTCCAGTATTTTCCCAGTGAAGCTGAGAAAAACTTCCTCAAAACAAAGTCAGCTGCCTCTACTTCAGATTTTGTTATCTTCCTAAGTATCATTTTCAAGCTGTGTGGGTTTTTTTTTAATATCATGGTTATCAACAAAACAATCTGAAAGGCATAAGTAGTACCATATAGCATAAACTTAAAAATATAGAGATATGGAATCTTTCCTGAAGTGCTATCTTTGGGTAGTGTATTGAAGAAGACAAAATGGTTTCAAATACCTGTAATGGTCTGTAACAGTGTTCCCATGTGACAAAAGAAAGCCACGTGATTGAGTATGGAAAAATGCCTTTTTTTTTTTTTTTTTTTTTAGCATTGTAATAAGAAAACACACACGTACACCCCTACCTACCTTGGGGAAAAGTGCTGCTAAGGACTGTTAAGGCCATTATGTGTATTACAACTGCTCCTACTACATTCATTTCTAAGACTTTTTCCCCTAGAAATTATATGACCTTTAAACTTAAAAAGGATTATTTCTTAAGAAAATATTTTCTAATGTTCTACCTGATATATATATGAACTTTTAGTTTTTAGTATGATTTTGTCTGAATGTTTGATAATTCCTTTTGTAAGCACAGTGAACAAGTAGCATGATGTTAGAAATCTGAAATTATTTTTGGAAATCTATCTGCAGACTCTCATGGTATATATAGCCCGTCCTACGTGTCCAAGGTCTCTCATATATCCATATTGCTGGACCCAGAGAAATTACCAAGAGATATCCATATCTTTCCTCTTTATAAAAACAATGACAGCATCTCCCCACAGTTCTAGAACTGGGTAAAATTTAAGGACCATAAATGCTCCCTAAACAAAAATCAGTCAAACTCTGGCTTTTAGCACTAAATTTCGAACGAGAGATTTTACCTATGTTGCCACACATAGTAAAGTAAACGGTTATAGCTACCTAGTAAATATAAAACCGATCAAATTGTACCACTGGAAAAGAATGAAAAAATATACCACTTTTGTCAGCATATTGACCTTGGGCAATAATTATTAATTTATTTGGTAATTTTATAATCCTCTATTGGATATGCTTTCTTTAAAAAAATAAATTTATTTATTTATTTTTGGCTGCGCTGGGTCTTCGTTGCTGCACGTGGGCTTTCTCTAGTTGCGGCGAGCGGGGGGGCTACTCTTCGTTGCGGCGAGCGGGGGGGCTACTCTTCGTTGCGGTGAGCGGGCTTCTCATAAATTCTGGTTTTTACATTTCAGTTCCCAAAGCAAACTTCATTAAAGTTGGTAGTTCTTACTTGACTGTGACGTTCAGCAAGTGAAGTTATATTTCATTTAGTAAAAATTTCAGAAGTCTTGAAAGGTAATTCATACCAAGTAACAAAACTCAGGTACCATATTACTGATTTAAGTAAAAACTTAAATATTCAACAGAAGTGAGCTTACCAGTCTCTGGGAATAAAAGTCCAAAAAACCAATTCAGTTTACTAAATTTTCTTCCCCGTCTGAGCCCTGACCAAATTTCTGCTTCGAGCTTACAGCAGACAGTACTTTAAAAAGCAGAGGCAACAAGAATTAGAAAGGAAAAAAAAAGTGTTACTTCGATTTTAAGGTTGCTTTTAAGTCAGAAGTTGCACTTAAAGGTTCTCAATGCTTAGTTCAGATAAAACAAACACAAAAATGCTGAAATCTGACTAATTGCTACCAACTCCAGACACATCTGATTACTAAATTAAGTGACATTCCATCAAATCAGGCCTATAGATTAGTTCAGAAGGCAACACAGTATGACAGAAACCCACACTAGGGGCAGTTTTAAGTAAAATTCTGCCTGTTCAGATTTCTGACACTTCTAGCTTTTTCTGAAAGTGTCAGTGAACATTTGATAGGTTAATAGAGGCTTTTAGGCCTAAAGGTTTTCCCCTCCCCCATCCCATGAAGTTGCTTTGAATACTGTGAATAAAAAGGCAATCCATTAAAATAGGTATACAATATAAAACCCAATATAAATACACAATTGCAAACATCACTGTAATTCTTTATTTAGATTATGTTTTCAATGAGATAGTGCCTTTTAATATGAGTTTCATAGCCCATCGTCCACTACCATTCAGTCATCCACTCATTTGTTCATTGATGCATTCATTTACTTCAAATGATATAGAGGTGGAAATGGGGAGAAACCACTGGGGTGGAGTGAACGGCAGCAGATACGAAAAGTAAGATTGCAGCTCTAGCACAGAAGAGATGAGAAAAGAAAATAACAGTCTTGGGACAGGACAGGAGGAAAACCTTCCCTACAGGCCTGTAAAAGGTGCTTGACTGAAGGGAGGTTGGGCACCAACAGTCGAATCTGTCATGATAACAGATATGCACCTACAGGCAGGGTTATGTGCTCTCCTTTGTTGCTAATAAAGTCATTCATAGTCCTTTTGCATGTACAAAGCATTCTAATATCCATTATCAAATTTAATCCTCCCAGGAAGTGTGAGTTAGGAGTATGCTCATTTTACGGGTGAAAATACAGAGCCCAAGGAAGAATTATTAGCCCAACATCACATAACCTTGCAAGAAGGCAACAGAGGAAAAACTCAACCCAGATCTTCCTCTAAATCAGGAACTTTCTGCACAATCCTACTGCAGTCTACTTAAGTTATTAAGTCCAGTCAGATTTACTACAGAATGTCAGACTTGGAAAGGCTTGTAAGGTTAAATCCAGTCCTTTCATTTTATAGGTACTGGAAATGGGTCCTGATTTGCTCGAGCTAATCACGTAACAGAAATAGGATCAAAACTCTGGTTTCTTGACAGCTCCCAGTCTTTCCACTCTACCACCCTGCCTCAAAATTAAAAGAAATACAAATGTTATACACAGAAATCAGGGCATGCCAAAATGTCACTGGAAATCAAACAGCAAACACCTATTCCCTCCCTTTGAAATTCACCAGGAAAGTAGGCTGCTCTATTCCCAGGTATCTTAAGACTCTGGAGAAAGTAAAATAAGCCACAAAAACAGAACTGCTAAATAATCCATTCAGAATTGTCAGCCAGTATGTGCAGATTATGTGCCTATTGAGTCAAACTTTTTAATAACTTCTCTTCACAGAGAAAAAAATTCCTACACACCTGTCCACTGCATTAATCAGTAAGATATATCAGTGTAACTCTGACCTGAAGTATATTTATAAAGGGCTACATAAACGATCACATTTTACAGCTTGCTTTAGAATAAGATTAAAAAATATACATATGTAGAGTGAGAATCCACCCAATCAGTTGAGAGCTGACAAGGCAGCAGACACCGCTCTAAACATTCATTCATTCATTCATTCAGGAGACTATCAAAGAAATCTACCTGACCTGCTGATATCAACCCAACTCTCAAGGCAATCAGTTCTACCCACCTGCAGTGAAATACTAGTGCCCAATAAACTCAGCACTTCCACAAGACATGTTTTCCACAAACCTGTTAGGCAGGAAACCACATCAAATGCAATCAGTATGCAGTATATAACCCAATTCAATTCTGAAGGATAATTTATACGCCAAAGCTATTTCTCTCTTGGAGGGAGAGCTGTAGGGGGGAGTTCTAAGTAGATGCTTAGCAAATGTTTCCTGAGTGACTAAATGAACTAAATGAATTTTCCTGGCCCTTAGTGATAATCCTATGAGATTCCAGGAAGAAAACTAGCTCACTTATCTTCAAAGAGCAGCAACAAAATGATTCAATATGAATATTGTGATTCTGAACTCTGCCGTCTTCATTCTGGCTTCTGTAGAATTCCACCAGTGGACACTGAGGTAGTGGGGGCCACAGGAGTCTGTGAAGCTCCCTGTTATATAGGCATCAAGATTTCAAAGTGTTCAAACTTCACTCTATGTAGGAACCCATGAGGGAAAAGAAAGAAAAAAATCACCTAAGAGTTAACTCTTACAAAAGAAATCAAAATGAAGAAACTTTGAGATTTAGGGAAAATGGCTGCAGGAGCTGGTGACCCACCCTGCATCTGTGAGGGTAACGCTCCTCTCCGGCATCCTTGGCTGCGGAGGGAGGGACCCAAACACTGAGGCTGAGGCAAGCAAGAGTGCTGCCCCCAGGAACCTCATACTCTACAACCAGTGAGCACAGCTTCCACAGCAGCCTTATCTCCAGAAACAATTCCAGAGGTGACCTCATTGAATAAGCTACAAAAGATGTGATTTTGTTCTTTAAAAGTTCTACTTACCGAGCTTTCATCCCCTTCCAGTGAAACCTTGGAGGATTTGTCCTTCAGCCTAAACTTTATTAATATGACCTCTGACCACGTAACCCAGCATACATTTCTGACTGCAAGTAAAAATATTAGAAGCAAATACTTGGAGAAATCACATTCCCAGTATAACCTTCACTCCTCTGAAGCCTCGCATCACTAGACAGTGTACAGGGTGGATGTTTCCCCAACGCTGTCCCCAGCTCCACCCCAGCGCTCATCGGCTGGAATGAAGGGATTCCTTGCATGATTCTGGGAACTGGAGATCGCCCAACAACTTCATGGCTCTGTTTCTAACAAAATGTCCCTGTCTAAAATACACACAGGCACATGCGCACATTTTATTTTTTTTAACAGAACAGGTCACCTGTGAGAGCCAAGCTACCCTTTCAGTCACAGGATATGTCAGGAATTCTGGTCACTGAAGTTCCTCAATAAATACTGCTCAAAAACCAGGGATCTCCTATAACTTCGTTACCCAAGAAATAAGTGAGCTGACGCTATTTTACCTGAAAACACTTAAATCCAATGCTGGAATTCGAATCCAATCAATACATCTATGTATTGTATCAGAGTGAACTTTTCAGTAAGAACTTCAGACATCTGTCCTCTTCTATATATTACACTAACATATATTAAAAAAAAAATTTCTCCTTGACTTTCAAGGCATAAAAGTCACAGAATTTTCCTTTCTCTAGATCCCATAACTGCTATCATCCAGGCTCAGAAGTAATTTTGTATAAACAAGTAAGCTTTTTAAAATCAAATAACTCTCCTCTAGAACAAAAGGGTTCTGGGGCTCCAGCTAGCCCAGGCAGGGAGAAAGCAATAAATAGTGGGTGCGGGAGGTGTGTGGAGGCAGTAAGACTATATAAAGTCCTTCCAACACAAAATACCTGGAGGAAGGAGGGCTGGGCTGGGCAAGAGACGGGCAAGGGTCTAAACGCATCAAGGCCTGGTTCTGTTCACTCTGGGGTGGCTGTCAGATACTCTTGGGTGTCTGAAAGAAAAGCGAGCCAGATGGCAGAAGAGGTCCCAGGCTCCTGGGAGAGACGAGGCAGCTACGATCATGATAGGGTGTGGGTGGAGATACACGGCAGTCCACCCGTCAAAAGCTGAGTGCTACCCTCAAAACTCACGATAACGAAAAGCTTCTCTGATTTGTAAACTTGCACTCATAAACACAAACCCTCAAAACAAGCCTTTTCAACAGTGATACACAATACTCTTCCTTTTGGCATCAGTGCTGTTAAATAGAAAGGTACTAAGCAGCCATTTTCCAAAGCAACACTACAGCTGAGAACAGGTCAAGTGGGTAACACTGCTGCTGCAGGGAGCACAGGCGTTAGGGTCTGACAAGGATCTTACTGAGGATCGCATCATAGTAGGGACTGAAGACCATCTTGTTATAGTTGACCAGGCGCACGAAGTTAATGGCAACTTCCTCCAGCTCTGTTTGAACTGGACCTAATCCCCCTGGGGCTGTGGGCAATGGCTTCTGATGACTGGAGACAAGGTAGGTTTCTAAGAAGGTCAGGATTCGGGAATCTGCGACAGAAAAGAAAGCAGTTGTTTGCTTCTTGGTCAGGGTGACTTTACAAGTTTCTATTTACGCTTCAGTTTTCAGCTTAAACATTACCTTTTCAGGAAAGTCTTCCCTGACCATCCGGAGGCACCTCCCACTTCTGAACATTCATCCCATTTGTACTGTACCCCCGCCCACCCCAAAGCTGGTCCGCTCCACGGGGTGGGACCATGCTCATCCTGTTCATCATTCTCTCCCCAACACCCAGCACAGTGCCTGCCATGAGGCCTGGACACCAGGCAAAGCCCAAAATACACTTGGAAAGCGAGGATAAATGTATGAACGATTAAGGGGAGATTAGGGTGCTGCCAAGTTCCGCTCTCAGAAGAGCAAGGCACACTGAGACCAACGTTAGCCATTGTTTAAGATCATATAAAAAGTGGGAGGAAAAATAAAGCAGGAAATGCAAGTTCAAAAGAGAAGAGAAAGGGACTTCCCTGGTGGCACAGTGGTTAAGAATCCGCCTGCCAATGCAGGGGATACAGGTTTGAGCCCTGGTCCGGGAAGATCCCACATGCCACGGAGCAACTAAGCCCGCGAGCCACAACTACTGAAGCCCGCGCGCCTAGAGCCCGTGCTCCCCAACAAGAGAAGCCACCACAAGGAGAAGCCCACGCACCACAACGAAGAGTAGCCCCCACTCGCCGCAACTAGAGAAAGCCCGTGCGCAACAACGAAGACCCAACACAGCCAAAAATAAATAAATAAATACATTTATTTTAAAAAAAGAAGACTCCAGCACTATTGGCTTGTGATCTAGATTTTCCCATAAGCCCACATGAAAGAAGCCTAAGCCTCCTTCTCCAAAGCCTGCAATGAAGGCCATGGAGTTGTGGGCCACTTGTCCTACTCTGAGGAATCATTTAGTTGGATGCTTCTTTAGCCCATCCCCTTCTATGATATTTTTGCACCCTCAGCTGCCAAAAAAGTGTGTGTGCAAAGCCGCACCTTGCAGATTTCATTACAAAAGCAATAGCAGCATTTATATTAAATGAGCGTTTTCAAACTTCACACCCAGCTCATGCCCTAGGGAACCTTCTCAGGTGCAACTGACTTACATCCTTTGGAGTCCAGTAACACACTTAACTGGCTGTGACTAAACAACCTAGATGACAGGACTAAGGCAGCAGCTTAGTAGCCAGTGGTCTCTTCACAGCACTTCCCCGCATCCCCACCCCAGTTGACAACAATGATCTCGACAGTCCGAGGGCCCTGCAGCATCAGGAGGCTCCTCCTGAGGGACCTGCAGATGAAACTGTGACTAATGCGGGCCTGGGATGAAATTTTAAAAAGTCATGGTATTAGAAGCACACCCACGTCACTGGTTCAGCCTCTACTCCAGCCTAGAATCTGATAACCACAGATCATTCTGCTTTTGCCTGAAGCCTGCTAACTTTTCATTATTTTATAAGATGAACATCTATCTGAGTTCGTAAAGAAGTTAAGGAAGGACTTTACAATTAAATGACAATAATTTTAAAAATTAAATATTAGATGTAAAAATTAAATATTAGATGTAGTGAACAGAATCAACCAGTGATGATGGAAAGTCACAGCTCACATAGCAGAGTAATATATATATATATATATATGCCCCCTGCACTGGAAGTGCAGAGTTTTAACCACTGGACCGCCAGGGAAGTCCGGAGTAATATTTTTAATAACTGCGACTCGTTAGTGAGTCCTCCCTATGCTGCCAGGTTCTGCAGTAAGCACCTTACATATCTTACCACCTGCAGTCCTCTCAGCAACCCTGCAGGTGCTGGTATTACCCCCTTTTAGAGATGATGAAACTCAAGTATCACGTCACTTGCTCAGGCTACACAGTAAGTGCTTGTAAAGAAAACCCGTCCTAGCCTTGTACTACAGCTATACTTTTCCCTTACCCTCGCGCCACTACCACATTCAAAACGCTTCTGACTCCAGATCCGGGGAAGAAGCGTCCCCACGCCAAGCAGTTCTCTGTGACCCCAGCTGGGCATCCTACAATTTTACTCAGTTCTGACACTACGCACAGACAGCCTCAGATCCCACAAGTTAAGGGCTCAGGTCCACAAGACTGCCCCCGACTTCAGAAGCCGATCACAAGGAGGCGGCCCGCAGGTCATCCACAACTTCTGACTTGGCTACAAATCAGAGGTTGCCGTGACGTCCTCTCCCTTGGATTTTGATGATTTGCTAGAATAGCTCACAGAACTCAGGGAAACACTAACTTAGGTTTACCAGTTTATTATATAATAAAGGATCTGATAAAGGATACAAATGAAGAGTCGGAAGAAGCCATACATAGGGTGAGGTCGGGGAGAGTCCCGAGGGCAAGAGCTTCTGTTCCCGCGGAGCTGGGGTGCACCACCCGTCCACTACACGGATGTGTTCAGCAACCCAGAAGCTCTCCAAACCTTGTACTTTTGGGACTTCTGTGAAGGTTTCATCACGTAGGCATTTCTAGCCCCTCTCCTCTCTCTGGAGGATGGAGGGCGGGGCTGAAAGTTCCAAGCTTCTAATCATGGCTTGGTCTTTCGGGTGACCGGCCCCCACCCAGGAGCCCATCAAGAGTCACCTACTCAGAACACAAGACACTCCCAGCACCCAGGAAATTCCAAAGGAGGTAGGAGCTCCGGGTCAGGAGCCAAGGTCAGAGACCAAACACTAGAACAAAAGATGCTCCTAGCGCTCTTATCACTGAGGAAACTACCAGAGTTTCAGGAGCTCTGTGCCAGGGGCCAGGGGCAGACACCAGTATATTGTTTCCCACCACCTCACAGTGCTGGATGGAGCAGGGTTCTGAACCAAGACCGGTGATTCCAAAGCCAGAGCCCTCAGGACAGTGATGGCTGCCTAGTCACTTGGCCAAAGCTTCGGGTCGCCCTAATGGCACTACGGTGAATAATCACTCTCTCTTCACTCATTAGCACGCGTAATCCATCAAACCCTTCTAGATGCCCGCAGAGGGGCCTGTCTGCCAGCCCATCGCAGGCATATCCCTGGTCCCGCCTTCGCCCAAACGTACCCACGATCCTGCGGATGGGGTTGTCAGGACTGGCCATGGCCTGGATCTGGCCCTTGAGCACGGCCTCCTTGTCCGTGGTGAGGGGGCTGAATCCGCACAGGGAAAGGCAGCTGCTCACCTCCAGGCAGACTTTCTCCCCAACGGTAGTCAGGGCATCCTCCAGATGGAAGGAGCTTGAGCAGAGGAGGGAAGGAGAAGCCAGTGAAGAAAGGGCCCATCAACAAAGTGCACATCCCACCCCCAGCCCCGCCCAGCCCCCGTTTGGGGAGAGTCACAGCGACCAATTCACAGACTGATGGGTTCAAAGGGAAAACTGTGCCTCTTCCCTGCCCCGAGCCCCTCAGACTGTGTCCATCCAACTCAGGGGACTTTGTCTCTCTACCCGTCTCTCTCTGCCAGAAAGAACAGTGGCACGGGGAGGGCTCAGGTTATGCCTGGTCTAACGATCTAAAAGCTAACTTCTTGCTAGCATCTGTGTGGTGAAATAACCCTGGAACTGACTTAGGACTACCTTGGACACCTCTGGAGCAACACACCAGAAACCAGAAATGTGGCAGCCGCGGGACGGAGTGGGAGAGAAACTTTTCATTGGATACCACTTTGTCCCTTTAGGCTTTTGAAACACAGTGTATTAACGACTTTCAAAGAACAAATAAAACTGAAATCTAAAAGTTAAAATTCACACTTCGATTTCCTGGGGCTCCTGGGCTCCCCTGGAGTCTCTGTGGAGAGCCCTTGTGCTGGTGGGTGTTGTCTGAGAAGGCAATTGCCTTTGTCCTGGATCTAGAGGCTGTGTACAGTAGAATGAGTGTGAGCAAATGTGAGAGCCCCAGGACTTGCTGCTGGGGCCAGGGCGGACAAGGCAGGGCCGGCCTCCCAAGGAAGCACGGACAGGCCCTCCTCCTCAGTAGCTTTGACAGAGCAGTTTTACTGGAGGGGGACCTAGGTGACAGCCCAGGGCTACACCTGTGCAAGGGCCTCAGGCCAGGCCTCGCCTCAGCAAACACCCTGCAGGCCTGAGTCAAGACTGTTGAGCCTCAGGTCACAACTCGTGGACACGCCCCTCATCGCACTGAACACATGCAAGCTGTGTGCAAACTCAGCAGCCAATTCCTCCACTTTGTAAGGAGGAGGAGAAGGTTTGGGGACATGCCGCTTGAAGAATCCTCTGAGGTGGACCTTGTCAGATACAGGTTAACTTAGAAACATTCAAAAATATTCTATATGCTGGAAACCACATAAATCACCTAATCTGATTTCACTGCAGAAGCAGTTGCCCTCACACAAGTGTGGACTGGTGCTGGTTGATAGATAATCCATTTACACTCAGCACAAAATGTCTATGAGGAGTGTTTTCCGCAAAGGGCGGAAAACTTTAGTCACATTCACACACTCTGGAGGAATGCAGCTTGTTTCTTATTTGACCTTTCCCTAGGACTGTGTTGACCAAACTATTAGTTGATTATGAAAGCAATTCACTGGGTAGCAACCAGTATTTTTTTTCTTTTTAATGGGACAAGAATAGAATAGAAATATCAGGAAGTATTAAGCACAGTTGGGTAAGTTTCACTTTGTGAGGTTTTTATTGCAGTTACATGTGTGTCCAAGTATGCACTGTCACCACGGAAGATGAATTTCTTACTATGCGTCCTGGTCACAAACATTTGAAAGCCACTGTCCTAGAGCCTTGCTAATCAGCCCTGGAGTGGACTCTAACTTTGACCGTGTGACCCTGAGTAAATCCTGCGGGATGAAGAACGCTGGAGTGCCAGGTTTCCTCAGTCTCTGGTGAGTGGCCCCAATTCTGCCTTACACTGCAGACCCCCGCTCCAGTCTGCTCCCCGCCACCCGCTGCCTCCCACCATCTGTTGAAGGCCCTGGTCGCCAGAGCTCTCCGTCACTTACGGCAGATGCATATCTGTGAGCAGAATCTTCACAATCATCTTGAGTTTCTCAGCAAAGTCGGCCCGGCTGGAAATTCCTGGGGCTGCCATGCTGAACGTGACCAGCAACACGGCCCCCAGGACGGTCAACTGCTCCAGCTGGAGCTGGAACTCTTGGAAGCGAGAATGGTCCATCAAAACTGTCTGCAATGAATAAAACAGAAATCATCCTGAGCTGCAGGTCTGGGCTGTCACCGGCAGAGGGCAGTGGGGCCGCAGCCCATACAGAGGCCTCTGAAGTTCCCCTGAGGATTTTCTAGTCCTTTCAGAGCCGGCCATAAGGGAGGCAGGTGTGAATTCTTCCACCGCAGCGCCCCTCTCCCTTAGGAAGGCTGCAGTACAACATAAGCCAGACTGGGTGTAAATCCAGACTTCATCATTTAATAGCAGCACAACCTCATGCAGGTTTCTTCAACTCTGAGCCCTAGGCAAAATGGGGATTCCTCCTTCGCAGTGCTGTTTTAAAGACGAAAAAAGGGGAGAGGGATAAGATGGGAGACTGGGATTGACAACATACACTCTACTATATATAAAATAGATAACTATTAAGGACCTACTGTATAGCACAGGGAATGCTACTCAATACTCTGTAATGACCTATATGGGAAAAGAATCTAAAAAAGAGTGGATATATGTATATGTATAACTGATTCACTTTGCTGTACAGCAGAAAGTAACACAACACTGCAAATCAATTATATTCCAATAAAAATTAAAAAGAAAGAAAGAAAGATGAAAAAAGACCATGTATATAAAGTGGCTGGGACTTCCCTGGTGGCGCAGTGGTTGAGGATCTGCCTGCCAATGCCGGAGACACGGGTCCGATCCCTGGTCCAGGAAGATCCCACAGGCCGCGGAGCAACTAAGCCCATGAGCCACAACTACTGAGCCTGTGCTCTAGAGCCCACAAGCCACAACTACTGAGCCCACGTGTGGCATCTACCGAAGCCCGCGTGCCGAGAGCCCGTGCTCCGCAACAAAAGAAGCCACCGCAGTGAGAAGCCCGTGCACCACAATGAAGAGTAGCCCCTGCTCGCCGCAACTAGAGAAAGCACACGCACAGCAGTGAAGACCCAACACAGCCAAAAATAAATAAATAAATGTATTAAAAAAAGAAAGATAATAATAAAGTGGCTGGCACAGCCAGCACTCAATAAATAGGAATTACATCATTAGATGGGAAAGAGTAATGAGGTACACAGGGGGCCAACTCATCCCAGTTTTTCCAGGAGTGGCTTGGTTTAAAACTGAAACTCCCAGGTCCTGTGAACACTTCCCCTCCCCACACCCATTCCCAGTCCTGGGTAAACCAGACAACCAACCACCCTATCCAGGGCACAGGAGGGAAGGAGGGGAGAAATACACTTATTCACCTCAGTATCCCCCTCAGTATCCAGCACAAAGGAGGCTCTCAAGAACTGGGAAGTGAATAAAGAAAGAGAAAAATGAACGATAAGTAGAAAAAGTAGGAATGACAGATAATACCTGGAAAGTAGTCAGTGAGTGAATTTCCATGACGGCGTCCCCGTGTTATTGACAGGCCTGGGCGCTGCCAGGCCAAAGTCTTCTGTGTGGGGTGAGGTAAAGGGAAGTGGAAAGGCTGAGGAGATATGGCTTCTGATCTGAGTTTTTACAGATGAATCAAATATTAAGGCCCAGTCTTGCTATAAGAAACTGACACACCAAATCGAGACATTAACGACGTGGAGTCTTAGCCCAGAATTCTCCCTAAGAAGTAAAAACCACCTTTGAAGGCTGAGACTCCTCTATGGTTAAACAGAGAGGCTTCACCAGTCTCTTTTTTGACTTCACTTTGTTACAGGGCAGCACCCTTGCTTTGCAGCCTCCTAGCAGTATGCCATACTTGGGTTTAGGATGCAAAGGATTTCCAAGGATCAATTCTGAGAGTAGACATCTGTCCCCAGTGAAAACACCATTTTCCCCACGGCTATCTTTGCAGAGAAATGTCTGCAGGAGAGAGCAGAGAGCATGGCACTCTGCAGGAAGGAAGCTCCCCACCCCCACTTCAATATCCCCTTGAGAGGCTGCTCTGGCACAAAACAGGGAACTCAGAGGCAAGAGGTGAAACCTTAGGCTCACAACATCTTAAAAAGAAAAATAAGGAACCGAGAAAGAAACTTCGAGAAGTAGCAGGATATGAGACTAGAGATAAGAAGCGTGAGTGCCCTCAAAAAAGAGGGGGAGTCTAGACGCCAAACCAGCTATTTGCTGGGGGAATCCCCTGTTAGTCATGTCTTTAAAGGACTCCTGCAGTTAGAAGCACTTACTGTGAAAAACATACAAAGAAAAAAAATATTGCTCTAGGCTTCCCTGGTGGCGCAGTGGATAGGAATCCGCCTGCCAATGCAGGGGACACGGGTTCAAGCCCTGGTCCGGGAAGATCCCACATGCTGCGGAGCAACGAAGCCTGTGCACCACAACTACTGAAGCCCGCGTGCCTACAGCCCACAAGCCACAGCTAGAGAAAGCCCGTGCACAGCAACAAAGACACAATGCAGCCAAAAATAAATAAATAAATTTTAAAAAATATATATTGCTCTGCATGGAAGGGGAAGAAGTTTCTTTAGATAAAACTGAAAAGCACCGTCACTGTTAGGGTTTTCATCAAGATGAGTAAAAACAGGACAGAAGCTCAGCAGCACAAATTAGAAGCCCCATACACTGCTGGTGGGACTGTAAAATGAGGCAGGCGCTTTGGAAAATAGTCTGGCAGTTCCTCAGAATGTTAAACTTAAGAGTCACCACGTGACCCAGCAATTCTAATCCTAGGTACATACTCAAGAGAACTGAGAACACATGGCCACACAAAAACTTGTACACAAATATTCAGAGCAGCACAATTCACAATAGCCCAAAAGTTGCCCATCAGTTGTCCATCAACTGATAAATGAATAAAGCAAAATGGGGTATAGCCATACAATGGAATATTTTTCAGCCTTGAAAAGAAATGCTGCCACAAACAACATCGTGGATGAACCTCGAAGATATTATACTAAGTGAATTAAGCAAGTCACAAAAAGACAAATACTGTGTGATTTCACTCATATGAGGTAGCTAAAGTAGTCAGATTCAAGAACACAGAGGAACCGGGGGAGGGAGGAGTGAGGAGTTAGTGTTTAAAGGGTACTGGGTTCCAATGTGTTCCATGAATGGGTGGCTGTGATGGCTGCAAAGTCATGTGAACGTACTTAGTGCCACTAAACTGTACACTTAAAAATGATACACTTTATGTTGTGTATATTTTAACACAATAAAAAAAACTTAAAAAGAATGAAGTACTGATTTATGCTACAACACGGATGGACTTTATGCTAAGAAGCCAGACACAAATGGCCAACATTGCCTGATTCCGTTTAAACGAAAAGTCCAGAATAGGCCAGATCCATAGAGACCTAAAGAAGATTAATGGTTGCCAGGGGGTGGGGGGAGGGTTGTGACTGCTAATGGGTACAGGGCTTCTTTCTGGGTGACGGAAATGTTCTGAAATTAAACAGTGGTAATGGAAGTGTAACTCTGTGAATGTACTAAAAACCAGTGAATTATACAACTTATAAGGGAGATTTTTCTGGTATGTGAATTGTAACCATTATTTTTTTTAAAGTTCAGCAGCACGAAAAAGAAATGAGCAGTCAGCACCTACTTCAGGGAAAGGTCTGTGGAGGTGGTCCCACTTCAGAAGCTTCAGGTACGCATAGTTCTGGACAGCAATAGGATCTGGCCCGGGACTGTCCCCAGAGCCAGAGGCCTCTCCCACAGCCGGCAGGGCATTTCTATACTTCTGATTCATAAGGTCATCTGCGGCTTCTTCCAGCCACTGGGTGACAAAGTCCAGGGAATCTGTGAAAAGCAAGGCTTCGAACATTACTGGAACGCTCTGGACGGATGCGTCCCAGAATTACTTTAGGGAAGATCATCCTGGAATTGTGGTAAAAGTATAAAGTACGGACTTTGGAATCAAATAGAACTCGGTTCACATCACAAGATTGCCAGTTACCAGCTGAGTGTTCTTAGATACGTCATTGCCTGACTATCAAGATTCTTAATACAAAGAAATGTCCACCACCACCCCACAGGCTGCTGTGAGGACTAAGCACGACAGAGGATATAAATGCCACCTTGGATGTTCAAAAGACCTCCACTCTCTTCTCTCCCACCCTGGCCACTCCTGCATGATACGTGGCTGGAAGCTCTGATAGCTCCAGCTCAGTGAGATGCAAAAATTCTTGCCCAAAGACAGATGGGACGAGACACTGACTAGAGTTTCCCAGTGTAAAGTATCCTCCACACTGAAGATGAGGCTTGTCCTTGTCTAGATCTTAGTCTTGTATCAATCTGGTTTACTTTCAGCCTTGCTGGGGTAGGGGTGGGGGGTAAGTTCTGTCACGTATTTGACACACACTGTGCAGTGTTTGGAGCACTGCGGGGGGGGGGGGGGGGGGGGGAATCTCAGTTGTTTTTCATCCGCCAGCATGCTTCCCCTACTTTTCTAAGCTGAATAATGCACCAGGGACTCTGAGGGACAGAAGAGAGAAGATGAGGTTTTTGTCCACATTGTATGAGCAAACACCCCTCTGACAGGACCTGGAACAGGTTGCAGCCCGGTCAGTGGAGGCCACCTTAAAACAAAATGGGCAGCCGAGGGCATGGGTGGAGTCCACTCTTCACTGCTGCAGCAGGACACTCCTCTGGTTCTGCCCACATGCTGATCACACCGAGCTCTTGGTTCCGAGCTTCGCTCACCCTTTCGCCTCTGCAGACAGCATTCTGTAGGCAACCAGCTCTGGAAAACCTCGGCTTTCATGCTGTGAGTGATAAGCACTACACTTGGACCGGCTCAGCGCCTGGGCCCCGGCTGTCCGCACCCGGCCCTCATACAAAGGCTCTTCAGCCTGTAAACTGCAACCCTGGTTTCTCCTGAGGGGCAGTAAAATACCGGTTGAGAAAGGGAGCTGTGTGGTCATCAATTCTGATCAAAAAGCTCTCAAAATCTGGGGACTTCCCTGGCAGTCCAGTGGTTAAGACTCTGAGCTCCCAATGCAGGGGGCACAGGTTCGATCCCTGGTCAGGGAACTAAGATCCCGCACGCTGCCTGGCACAGCCAAAATTTTAAAAAAAACCTCTCAAAATCTATTACCACATCTGTAAAATTGGTTTAAAAAATACTGCCAACCTCGTAGGCTTACTGTGAGGTCACCTATGGCAACACACGTACACCCTTGGCACAAGCCTAGTACACAGTAAACACTAACCAATCTTCTAGGACTGCTCCTTCAACTCTGCCCTTTCTTGACTCCTCCTGGCCCTCAGGACCAGTTCCAACTTCTCTGCCTGGAGCTGGATGAGCAACTGTTGACCTGATCCTGGTCAGGCAACACAATCTATCCAGAGACTGCCATTTTCATCTTGTGACCCGCAAACTTAGAGGCTAAACGGAACTCGTAATAAATTGGAACTGAAGACTGCAGTTCACTTAGAGCATCAGCTGCCAGTGCAGAGACCGAAACAGCGCCCTAGAAATGAAACGTAGTTTGGATTTTAATTCATCTGTTTCCTGCAGTCATCTGAGTGGTTCATAAAAATGAGACTTTTTCTGGGTACAAAACCAGATTTATGCATATGGAAGAGAAGCAAAGTGAAATTTTTTGACGTACCTCATAGAGAGATTTATGCATATGGAAGAGAAGCAAAGTGAAATTTCTTGACGTACCTCATAGAGAGATTTATGCATATGGAAGAGAAGCAAAGTGAAATTTCTTGACGTACCTCATAGAGAGTAGAAAAGTGAGCTAAATAGTCCTAAGAAGTTCGTCATGTTCTTAAAACCAAGGCCAAGTATACAATTCACCTCAAACTGGTGTTTTCATAAAAACCCATTTAATTTAGGGCTTCTTTGTTTTTTTAAATTTCTGTTCTCCTCTCCTACTTACAGTTTTCTTGCTTGTCAACTAAGTTTTCAGGGCCTAACATCTTGTCCTTTTCGGTCTTCAAATTAGACTACTCCTGAAACGGGAGGGAAGGGGGCAGGGCACAACCTTTGAAAGAATGATATAGCCCAAGGGCATGACATAAACTGATTAGAACCAAATGGGTCCAAGATGGCGGACAAGTCAACTTCCACTAGACCTGGAGCCTCAGTATAGGCTCACTGTAACACATCAGCAAGCGAAATGATACACCCACAGGCGCCATGACAGTTCCCAGGCCCACCATAAGGATCAAAAAGTGGGCGGTGGCCCAATTCCTGGAAATCACCGCCCCTTCCTGAAATAGCAGGAATACTCCTCCCACTCATTAGCCTATAAATTACCCACCTCTATAAAAACTGACAACCCCATAGCCTGGTGCCTTTCTCACCTTCTGAGACGGCCCACACTCTGTCTGTGGAGTGTGTTTCTCTCTAAATAAATCCACTTCTTACCCATCACTTTGTCTCTCACTGAATTCTTTCTTCGATGAGATATCACGAACCTGAGCTTCATTAAGTCCTGAAACCAAGTGTGTGATCTCAGTTGGAAGACCGTGGGTTTTGGCTGGGTTTGAGTCCCAGCACGTGGGTTCAAGCCCCAATCTGTGGTGCACAGTTTCATTCTCATACTAAATTCTCATGTTGTTTTGAAAATATCATTATGCGGCAAGCTACAGCCACTAAAATGAAAAAGCACAGACAACGAACAGGCACCACAAAACATTAAACATACTTGGATGCTTCTCCAAAAACTCTTGAAACTGCTTCCTTTCATATTCAACTGACTGCTGCATGAGATGTGGCCTAATGCTACTGACAGCAAAGTTTGCCATATCCACTTTCATTAGGTCCAACACGGAAAAAATTGCCCTGAAAGAGATAAAAGGATTTATCACTGGGCGCTTGTAAAGTAAACACTGCTGTAAAAAAAAATGAAGTGAGCTGATTTGAGACAGTTTTTTCATCTCAGAAAGGGTGGCAAGAAAATTTGGAGAAGCCATGAGAACGCAGATTTAAAAAAACAAATTTAGAAGAAACGACTGCATATTTTTAAGTTGCTCTCTGTCCCCACCCTTGCCCCTAGGCAAACGTCACTTCCCCCACTGCCTGTCAGGCCCAGAGCTCTTTCTTTGGCTCTGGGTCAGCCCTCTTGGCTGCAGAGGAAGGACGGCCCCAGACCTGAGGTTAAGAGCAGAGAGTTCACCACCTGGTCTCCATGCTCATACAGGTTAATATGTTCACGGCAGGTTTTATGTTCTAGCTCTCATGGCATAACTGCTAGCTCACACTCTGAATGTAACCCATGGGCAGATCTGATGCAATGCCAAGGATGCCTTCCATACCACGCCTGTCACATACCAGCAGCACTCTTACCAGAGGTCAGGAGCTGCTAAGTGACCTACTTGCAGAAGGTGGATAAGAACCCAAGGTGCAGGTTTAGGTTTAGGTCCTACACAGGTAAGAACAGGATCAAACGTCCTCCCAGTCCCCTGATGCCCTTTGGGACTGACTGAACATCATATGACAGAATAAACTCACCTTTTATGTGAGTTTATGTATGGGAAAGGATACACAGTCTGAGGAACAACTCAGGGCCCCTCACCCTGCCACTCTGTCCCTCTCCCAAATGCGTCGGGCAGCCCACTTTCTGGAGGGTGTTCTGCCTCTCCTTTGAGCATTCCCAACAGTCCCCTAAATCCACCTACAGGAAACCAGAGACTACTGGAGACTGCCAAGTGGCAGACCACTGACTGGAAGTAACCCACAGTCATGTTTTATGCTCACAGTGTTTTTAAAAGCCAGGATTTCTAGCTTCTCTTGAAAAATCAAAAGATCTGGCAACCCGGGCCCAAACTCCATCACAACTACAATCGGCTGGCACTAAGCGGCCACCGTGGCCTCCTTCAGATAGGGTGTATACTCCCAGGTTACCAGTTTCCCCAGTCCCTTCTCTTTCCAGTAGGAATCTGAGTTAGGTTGAGTTTGCTACCAGCTATTTCCCCAGAGGACTCTCTTCCAAGGAATTCCTCATTTAACTTAGCTGATTTTGAGCTCTTACCGACTATATTATTTCTAATGTCTAGCACCGTGCCTAGCACATAAGAGGTGCTCAGTAAGAGCTTGTTGAATGAATGAACAAATCAATAACTATATTTAGGCAGTCTTTTCAACATGCTCTCTCCTATTAAACGTTAGTTAATAGGAGAGAGGGAACCTGACAGTGAAGGGCATTTTTCTATGTAATGAATATTGACAGCATAATGATATCAAGAAGGCTAGAGATTAAACTTTTTTTACTTATAAAACTTTTGGAAAGCAACTTGGTACCATGCAATGAATCTTAAAACTGTTCACATCCTCTGACACAGTAATCCCATTTTAAGAACGTATCTTTAGGAAATAACCTAAAATAAAGAAAAAATTTTGTGCAGAGATGTTCACTGCAGGGTTAAATACTAAATAACTATACATAATCTAATTGTCCATCTTAACAGAGAAACAGTTAATCATATCTATGTGAATGAATATATTGCAGCCACTGAAAAAGCTTATGGAGAGTTTAAAAAAGTAACGTAATGTAAGTTGGTTATAAAAGGGCAATGCAAGAGATCCTTGTGGTGTTGGGACTGTTCAGTATCTTGAGTGGTGGATATTCCAACTTAGGTGATAAAATTGTATAAAAGTTACTATAAATAAACATATACATGTGTATACAGGAAATCTAAATGAGATCAGTGGACTGTATCAGTGTCAACACCCTGGTTCTGATAGTTTTGCGATGTCACCACTGGGAGAAGCTGGATAAAGTGTACTGTATTATTTCTTACAACTCCATGTGAATATATAATTATCTCAATGATACTTTCAATGAAAAAATAAGTGAAATAATTAGGGTGTAATGTTAACAAAAAGTCAGGCTTGCAGTGCCCACCGGGAGGTCTTCTTTGGTTCAGCTGAACAGTCAGACTCACAGGACAATAAGCCACAGGTTTGGCACCATCTATTCACACAGCTTGCCAACAGGGTGGCACCAAGCACTCCTCTTCAAGAAGAGTTACAATATCAGTCATGAACAGACAGCTTAGAGATGTGGGAGCACCCTGACTTAAAAGCTCGTAATAACTCCACGGCATGACTTCTAGGGTCTCTATGGGGGGCATGCCCAGTTATAAAAGTTTCCCCACTCGAGGAAGTATCAAGTATGATGTGCCATCGAGTATTTATAGTTCATTATCATTTCTTTCTGTCTAGATGCAATTTACCAGTTAGAGGTCATTTTCCCCATAAGTAATGTTACCTAGTAGTATTTTGATACGTAACACCTTCATCTGTTTACAGGAAAACAGTAAAGCAGTTAACCAAAAGTCAAATTCTCAGGCAGCATCATGTCAATCCTTTGCCCATATTAGCATATAAATTATATAAATTTGATCACAACTGTATACATTTAAAAATAAACATTCAAAAGACTAAAGGAAGTTAACATGGACTAAACGTTAGTTAATAGGATTATATTAATGTTAAATTTCTTGAATGTCCTGGTTGTATTTTGATTATGTGGGAGAATATCCACATTCTTAGGAAGTAGTTGCTGAAATAGTTAAGGGTGAAATGTCATAATATCTGACATTAACCATCAGAAGGTTCAGGGGAAAAAATATACATACATACGTACATACTCAATGTGCACATACTCAGTGTATATATAAAAAGATAAAGCAAACTAACTAAATGTTAAAAACTGGTGGATCTGTGTAAGGGTTATATGAGTGTTGATTGTATTGTTTTTGCAACTTTTCTGTAGGTTTGTAATTTTTCAAAATAAAATGCTGAGGCAAAAAAAAACAAAAAAATTTATATATCAATATGACAGTAGTGATTGTGCCTTTGTGTGGTAAAATTAAGGGTGAAATTTTTCCTTCTTTCTCCTTTTCTATAGTTTATAAAATGTTTGCTTTTTAAAAAATATCTCATGCCTTTTTGTTTCATTGGATTTATATTGATTTTAGTAAAAAACAGATTTGAATTTTAACATTTTTAAAACATATGCTAATTATCAGTCTTTACCTTGACCTGCCTTCAACCAGTTAAAGAATATACAGACTATAACCTCACCCAGAGTCTCAAGTTCACTGTCTTTTTCCCCTTCCTTCCTTCCTTCCTTTCAGTCTTCCCTTTCTCTTCCCTCCCTTCATTCCATCCCTCCCTCCTTTTCTTATTATAATCACTATTTTTAAAAAATACAGAACGTTTCACGAACTTGCGAGTCATCCTTGCACAGGGGCCACGCTAATCTCTGCACGGTTACAATTTTAGTGTATGTGCTGCCGAAGTGAGCACAGCAAAATATTTGCTTTTTAATTTTTTTTTTTAAATGCATGAATACCTACACTTGAGGAAGTCTAACTCTGAAAACGGGCTCTGTATTTTAGGTGCCCTGAAGGTGATTAACACAGTGCCCATACCTGAAAAGGGGCACTATTTCCTTAATGTCCTTTAGTTTCTTCACTTCCTCATCTCGAACAGGTGCGCACAGTGTCCCCATCATGCCAATAATGAATTCTGCCAGCTTGGAAATGTCCAAGGCCCCATTCTCTGCCTCCTGCTTTATCAGATCCAGATCCAAGACTTCTGTTATCTGGTTTCTCAGTCTAGTGTGACCAGGCAGCAAGAAAGATAAGAGCGTCTACAAGAGAGCACAGCCAAGTTTAATCAAAGCTTCCTAGTCAGAAGCCATTTTTGATTATATGTAAAGGAATTTACAATTATTCCAATAAGGGCTTACCAACTGCTATTGTAATGGTGCACACATTTTAACCTCTTATTCAACAAATCGACAGAAAAACATGTTTACAAATCATTTAGACTAGCTATTTAAGCTTCCATTTAAGCTCTAGGTAGCAATCAACTGGATGCAGGAAGAAAAAACTGTTAGAAGTGAAAAAAAAAACCCCACATTAATTAGTGTGTGCCTGTGAGCTAACAACAGATGGCAATTTCCACAGACACCTTACTTCTTTGGAAAACTGTTGCTAAAGGTATTGCAAAAACAGTTCTACCTTTCACTTAATACCTTCTCTGTCCCAAAGACTGAATCGCTTTTATGGTCATTATTTATTGAAGGTGTTCATATCTATTAAAATTTTTATAAATTATCTGTATTTTATAAAATAACTTGTTTTCTTTAAATAATTCTGTTTTCAAAAATATGAACCTTCTTTTCATTTAGAAGAGTAATGCCCTCAGGTTATCACAGCTTCTTTGAAAATTTTTAAAGACCAGTAAGCCAAAAATACCCTAAATCCACATTTCGGCAAGCAATTTAGAATCCTGATCCTTCAATTTCTTTAAGGCCTTCTGGCACAGTAACACAGGATGAGTAAGTACTCCTAACATACGAGGAAAGCACCGCGACTTGCTCTTCGCCTCACCTCTTTGATCTCACCAACAAGCTTGATGGCCCGGTCATAAGTTGGGGGGTCTTCACATAACTGGACACTCAAGCAATCCCAAAAAGCTTTATGTACAATATCCTTTACTTTCTTCTCCAAGCTGGAGGCAAATGGAAAAAAAGGCAAAAGCAAATAAAATATTATTGCCTCAAATTACTTTCAAAAGCACAAATTCTACAGGTTTAGGGTAAGAAAATTTTTTTTTTTTTTTTTTCTTTATTTGCGGTACGCGGGCCTCTCACTGCTGTGGCCTCTCCCGTTGCGGAGCACAGGCTCCGGACGCGCAGGCTCAGCGGCCATGGCTCACGGGCCCAGCCGCTCCGCGGCATGTGGGACCCTCCCGGACCGGGGCACGAACCCGTGTCCCCTGCATCGGCAGGCGGACGCTCAACCACTGCGCCACCAGGGAAGCCCAAGAAAATTTTTTTTAATTATTTGGATGAAGGAAAGATTTCCCAGATATACCTAAACCAATCACATACTTATTTTTAGTTAGTGATTTATTTCAATAAGTACCTCATTGGAAAAAATAACTTTCAACTAATTTGACAGGTGACATTAGTCCAAATAACAGCCCATAACAGTGCCATATGATAAAAAGAATACTGGAAAGTTCAGATCTGTTAATTTAAGTTCCCCGATACCAGCAAGTTTCCTAAGACATTTATGATTAAGTAGTTTAAGACTTTAAACTTTAAGTTTGTTTCCTAAAATTATCCTATTCCCATGTGACATACTGGACAACTGTTTAATTAGGTACCAAACTACTAATATAACAACTTATATATAGCATTTCAGGAAAACCAATCTTTATGTCATGAGAGCAAAACAAGTAATTAATTCTTCATGATTAATGTGAAAAAGTACTATCCTTGAAGAACATATAAGAAATGTTTGTAAAGTCATATCCAGAAGCCTCATGCGGGAGATACTATAGCTTGCTGACCCAGCAGCCATTGCTCCTCCTTTGTCAACAGAATCCCGATTTTTTTCATGGTGCTTTCACAATTATAAAGGGCAATGTTTTTTCCTTCTTGTGACAATCCATCTTTAAAAGGTGCACCTTACAATCAACAGAATTTTAGATTCAATATGATATGTGCCAGGTACTAGGTAGGGATAGAGAATAAAGCATAGTCCTCGTCTCTAAGGAGTTTACAATCTGGTGAAGAATGCAAGTAAACCAACAACTACAGTAAAATGTGATAGTTACAAAGAAGAAATGAAGGAGACAGTGCAATGAACACACAAGAGGAGGCAGCTAAATCCTATGGAGTGGGAAGAAGCTGACACGCAAGACTTCCACAGGAGGTTTCCAGACCTTTTACTACATTGTCAAGGATCAGTGGTCCTGAGATCTACTATCGAACTCTAGTAATTCCCAGGATAAGGAATATATTTTAGCAACATACAAAAGGAAAAGTATATTAGAATATATTGACATCAAGTGAAGAAAACATTTCCAGAACTGGGAAATGGCTTTGTTCTACCAAACAAGATAACTCAGTAACCACCTTACCTGTCTTCTGGTAATTCAACTGGTTTAATCCGAAAGTCTCCATTTATGACAATTTCATGGGCTATGGTCATGTTAGTTACTCCTTTTGCTGTCTCTAGAAGTTCTTCTACTGTCACGAATCGAGGAGAACTAGCTATAACAAAAATCCAGTGTAAGAGGTCTGTTCCTCTAGATTAGGATTTCTATTAAATTACGGAGAAGGTAGTGGTTCTGGTACCAGCTAATAATTTCAGTTATCCCTTTACTTATGAAAATATTCTGGCAATTTCAAATAGAATTTTACCTATTTCATATTCTTTTTTTTCTTTTAACTTAGAATCCTAAAAGCACAGATCATTTACAATACTCAAAACATCTTTTTTTTTTTTTTGCCAGAACTGGTCAATGGAAAATGATTACAGTAAACTAAGACTTAGAACAACTTTTTTTTTTTTTTTTTAACATCTTTATTGGGGTATAATTGCTTTACAATGGTGTGTTAGTTTCTGTTCTATAACAAAGTGAATCAGTTATACATATACATATGTTCCCTTATCTCTTCCCTCTTGCAGAACAACTTTTTAAAGTTACTGATTATCACTTTTTAAAGTTACTGATTATCACCTTCCCGGCAAGCTAAGAGTTTATTTTCTAATCCCTATGCCTCCTGTCTACCCTAAATGGAAAAAAGACACCAGATTTAGGATCTTCTCTTTTGTTCCCATCAGCAGTTTACATTTTGCTCCATCGTTAACACTGTGCCTTGAACCAGTCTCCCCAAATTAAAATAGCCTTGAGCCAGGTGCTGTTTAAACAGTGCTAAAACCACTACCCTGTACAGGATACTAGGACAATATAAGAATTCTGAAGTTGACAAATGAACAAATTAGAGTGTGTGACACAAGAATCTGTAGAATGCAGGCCCACTGAATCAAAAACCTCAGAGTCATCTCTGACTTCTCCCTTTCCACTGCTCTGTTATCCAGGTCCTGCAGATTTTACTTCTGTGTCAACTGTGGCAATAGCCTCATAACTGGTCTCTTCTGTGTCATCTGTGGCAATAGCCTCATAACTGGTCTCTGTTCTTTGCTTTCTTTTGATAAAGTTTGAGATTTATCTTCCATAAAAAAAGTTCTCACAAATCTCCCCAGGTGTTCCAAGCCAAGGAACAAAGGGTAATTCCTACTTTTAAAAAGTCTATGATTAAATACTTGCATTTTTGGTTTATCAGTTACATCTCAATAAAGCTGGGTTATTTTGTTTGCTTTTTTAAAAAGTCCATGATAGCAGGTCTTTAGTTTATATCAGAATCACAGGGAAGGCTTATGAAGACAGATTGCTGGGCCCCCTCTCAGGGTTCTGATTTAGCCTGTCTGGATGGGGCTGGAGAACTGCATCTCTCATAAGACTCCAGTTGATACTGATGGTTTCAGAAACCACACTTTGAAAAGCACTGGCCTAGAAGATGATTATATTAATTTTATGTAATGGTGGTAAGATCTGGGCTTAAAATGAGATAAAAATGCCACTGGTTTACACAGGGTTTAAAACATAAAGATCTTCCTAGGTTAGTGAAAAGTTATTTTCCCTCTTCTTTTACTTCTTTCTTTTGCTCACCAGAAAAAGGAATCAAATCTAAGAGCTGGTCATATTCTGTCTGCTAAAAATCTTTATTTACTCACATAAGGGGAAGTTGAGAAAACTCACAAAATTTTTTTCAGCATTTCCAGGGAATATTAATAAAAATAATAAAGAATATTGGCTTTGTGGATATTGGTAAAATGCAATAAATATCTAAAATCAAGGCCCAACAGATCTTTTCAATTCTCGGTATTATTTAGAAGTCAATTTCTACCAAATTGATCTACCTATAAAATGCAATCCCAATCAAAATCCCAGCAAAGTTTTTGTTGAAATTGCCAGACTGATTCTAAAATTTGTATGGAAATGCACAGGACCTAGAAAAGCCAAAACTATTTTGAAAAAGAAGAATAAAGTTGGAGGACTTATACTAAGTGATTTCAAGACTTACTATAATGCTAATAATCAAGTCAGTGTGCATCTGGCATGAGGACAGACATATAGACGAACTGAACAGAGCAGAGGATCCAAAAATAGACTGATGCACACACATACATATGTATATTTGTGGTCAGTAAGGCAAGATTCGTTTTTTTACCAAATAGTGCTGGAACAATTAGAAATCTATAAATAACAGAATGACCCTCAGCCCTTACCTCACATGATAAATAAAAACCAACTCAAAATGAACTGCAGACCTAAATATAAAAGCTAAAACTATAAGACTTCCAAGAGAAAACACAGACAAAAATCTTTGCGATCTTGGATTAGGCAAAATTTCTTAGATAGGATACAAAAAGCTTAAAATGTAAGAGAAAAAACTGATAAATTAAACTTTACCAAAAGTCAAAACTTTTGCTCTGTGGAAGACTCTATTAAGAAAATGAGGGACTTCCCTGGTGGTCCAGCAGGTTCAAGACTCTGTTCCCAATGCAGGGGCCTGGGTTCGATCCCTGGCTGGGGAACTAGATCTCGCATGTATGCCACAACTAATAAGTCCACATGCCACAACTAAAAAAAAAAAAGATCCCGCATGCTGCAGTCGCTTTGGAAAATAGTCTCTCAGTTTCTTATCAAGTAAAACATACATACACTTACCACATGACCCAGCAACCCCATTCCTAGGTCTTTACCCAAGAAAACTGAAAACATATGGCTATGTAAAGACTTGTACTCAAATGTTCATAGCAGCTTTCTTCATAACATTCAAAATCTGGAACTAATCCAAATGTCAGTAACAGCAGAAGGGATAAACAACTGTAGTATAACTATACCATGTAATAGTACTCAGCAGTAAAAAAGGAACAAACTACTGACACATGCAAAACCATGGATGAATCCTAAAAGCATTATCCCTAGTGAAAAAGTCAGATACAAAAGACTGTACAGTAGGGACTTCCCTGGTGGCGCAGTGGTTAAGAATCCGCCTGCCAATGCAGGGGACACGGGTTTGAGCCCTGGTCCAGGAAGATCCCACATGCCATGGAGCAACTAAGCCCGTGCACCACAGCTACTGAGCCTGCGCTCTAAAGCCCGCAAACCACAACTACTGAAGCCCACGTGCCAAAACTACTGAAGCCTGCGTGCCTAGAGCCCATGCTCCACAACAAGAGAAGCCACCGCAATGAGAAGCCCGCGCACCGTAATGAAGAGTAGCCCCCGCTCGCTGCAACTAGAGAAAGCCCATGCACAGCAACAAAGACCCAACGCAGTCAAAAATAAATAAATAAATATTTTTAAAAACTGTTGCTAAATTGTTACAGCATTTGTGCACTGACGCTCTGTTACAGAAACTGAAAACCTCATTAAGTTAAACATGCCCTTTGGGAGCCTGCCAAACAGATTCCAAAATAAAATGAAGGTCTAATTCAGAATGGCTTACTCTCACCTTTCTTCACTAAGGGGTTCTGGAACCAGAAAAGTCTACACACTCTAAAGAGATGCTTCCAGTACACAAGTGGATGGACATTTATTGAGGGCAGATGGCAAATGTCACCCAAAGAGCTACTATAGACTGAGTATAGTGAAGCAAGGGTAAAGCTTATCCACTGAACATATTACACTGTGTGGAAATGGTTTGTTACAGTATCTTCCTCACTAGATTGCAAGCTCTAGGAGGACGGAGAGCATGTGTGCCTGGTTCACTGCTGGACTCCCGCTACACAGTGTGCACTCAATCAACACTGATTGATTAACTAAATATAGGGACACCATAATTCAGTCTGGTCTTGCACTTTAGAAAGGTAAGAACTTGGTGTCACCCGTTTATCTAATGAATCTCATAAGGACCTGATTTAATAAACTAAAATGCTAAATGGGAAATATTAACTGGAATAACAATTGATGTTTTTCATCTGAATATGGCAACTTTTACTGATCAACTAGGTGATTAAATGCTAGAGCAAAAGGTGCATTGTGAGCAGAGAATTAAAGTATATTAAAGGGGCTTCCCTGGCGGCACAGTGGTTAAGAATCGCCTGCCAATGCAGGGGACAGGGGTTCGAACCCTGGTCGGTGAAGATCCCACATGCTGCAGAGCAACTGGGCCTGTGCATCACAGCTACTAAGCCTACTCTCTAGAGCCTGCAAGTCACAACTACTGAAGCCCGCGCACCTAGATCCTGTGCTCCACAACAAGAGAGGCCACCATAATGAGAAGTCCACGCACTGCAAGGAAGAGTAGCCCCTACTCGCCGCAACTAAAGAAAGCCCACGCACAGCAACAAAGAGCCAATGCAGCCAAAAATAAATAAATAAATTTTTTAGAAAAAGTATAAAAAACTCCAAAAAAAATGATACAAATGAATCTGTATACAAACAGAAACAGACTCAGAGACACAGAAAAACAAACTTATGGTTACCAAAAGGGAAAGGGAGAGGGGTAGGGATAAATTAGGAGTATGGAATTAACAGATATAAACTACTATACATAAAATAGATAAGCAACAAGGATTTACCGTATAGCACAGAGAACTATATTCAATATCTTGTAATAACATATAAAGGAAAATAATCTGAAAAATATATGTATATACATATATACACATAACTGAATCACTTTGCTATACACCTGAAACTAACACAATATTGTAAACCAACTATACTTCAATTTTTAAAAATCACCATTAGAATAAAAGGGTAATATTGGTGCAGGCAAGATCACTGGTAAAGGCTAAAATCAGTGAATTGAAGTATAAGCAGAAACAGGGTGACTGCATAGTCCCAAAGTATTGTAAGCAGATAGGGTAGGTGGTCTCCAGAGAAAAAGAACCAGGCATGACTCTCTTGACATAAGATGCCATTTTTGACCTAAGCCACTCTGTGACGTAAGCCTGGCCACAGTGCTTGCCCTTGAACAGATCTCAGTAATTTAGTAAGATATGCATAACAATGTGATACATATCCTTGAGTTCTGCAGGAACTAAGGCCCCCACTCAGGTGGAGGATGGTAACTGCATGCTGAGACCCCAGACTCGTCAGAACCGGAGGAATGATGATGTTGACCTTTTTCTACATTCTGTATCAGTTTCTAAAAGTTCTGAACCCAAATTCCATTACATGCAGGGGAAGTGGGGTGAAGGTTTTTTCCCCACACCACCAAGCAATTCTCTGACACCAGACATGTGTCGTACAATTCAACTCAATTCTGACACTACCTACCTGGAGACAGCATCAGATTCCACAGGTTAAGGGCTCAGTCCTACAACACTGCGCCCCCTGCCGCCCCCCCCCCCCCCCACTTCAGACAACAGTCCCAAGTCCAGATTGTCACTTTTTTTTCCCCCCTAACTGGATACCTTTTATTTATTTTTATTTCCTGGCTGGGATCTCCAGTTCAGTTTTAATTAGAAGTAGTAAGAGTAAATATCCTTGTCTTGTTCTCAAACTTACAGGGAGAAACATTCATTCTTTCACCATTGAGTATGATGTTAACTGTAAGAGTCTGTAAATGTCCTTTTATATTTTGTGGATGTTCTCTTCTTTATTTGCTGAGAGTTTTTACCACAAACTGATGTTAAATGTTATCAAAATAAGTCTATTTGTTTTAAACAAACACATTATTTTGCTTCCTATGAACCAGGCACCATTCTAAAATGCTTTACAAATAGTATCTCATTTAATCCTCTAACAATCCTAGTAACATGAACTAGTTTTGAACTAATAGTGAATTACTACTGTCCCCATTCAGATAAAGAAATAGGCATAGAGAGGTTAAGTAACTTGTCCAAAATGACATGGCTAGTAAGTAGCAAGTCACCTCTGCTTCTGACAGACTGGCTACGGATGGGAAGTTCCAACAACCTCTCCTTGCGTTCAGTTATTCACTAGAGCAGCTCATGGAAGTCACAGAAACATTTTACATACTAGATTACTGGTTTATTATAAAAGGATGTAACTCAGAAACAGCCAGATGGAAGAGGTGCATAGGGCAAAGTATAGGGAAGCAGTGTGCCACTCTCCCAGCACCTCCATGTCTTCACCAACCCAGAAGCTCCCTGAACCCCATCCTTCTGGGTTTTTATGCAGGCTTCATTACATAGGCAAACTTGATTAAATAATTGCCATTGGCAACTGATACAACATCCAGCTCCACCCTCCTCCCCAGAGGTGGGGGTGGGAGGGTGGGACTGAAAGTTCCAACCCTCTAATCACAAGGCTGAGTCCCCTGGCAAACAAGATGCCATCCTTCGGTTAGGTTACCTAGGTGCTTTCCAAGTCTAACAAAAGACATCTTTCTAGCTCTCATCACTTAGGAAATTCCAATAGTTTAGCAGCTCTGTGCCAGAAACAGGACGAAAACCAAACATTTCCTATAATAAATCACAGTATCACAGTTACCAATAGCAGTTCTACCCTTAAAACATTATTCTGTATTATAATTTGCAAGGCTAAAGGCTATCTTTTTGCTTTTAATTTGTAGCATCCCAGATGTGATTTTAGAGTTACTTATAAATTCAGTTTGGGAGAAATGTCTGCAAACGGCTAATTTCATATTTTATAAATTCTTATTTATGCTCTATGCAGGTAGTGATGTCTCCTGACCTGGTGCCCAGACTACGGGGTCTTAGTTTTACCACTGGAGTCCACAGCCCTATACCTACCTATTACTACAAGGAGAAAGAGCAAGAAAGCCAGAAACAATATTTTAGGTCATTGATTTTAAACCTCATTTTGATATGGATCTCTATGAGAATTTAATGAAAGCTTCCATGACCTTCCTCCTAGAAAAATGCACATACACACACATGTTGATACACTTTTTTGACTGTTCCTGGGTTCCCCAACTCTTGATCATGGGTGCCAGGATAAGTTGCCTTAAGGACATAACCACATACAATTTCAGATAGTCTAGTGTTGGCCTGACATTAATTTGGAATCATGCCATCAAAAACTGACAGGATGCCAAAGACAAGGACATTAATCAAAGAACAACTGAAGATCTAAACCAAAGGTACTTCTTTACCAGAAACTGCAAGTGATAAAACTACCATATTGGCCATAGACAGCCACATTACAGCTATCAGTCCTCGGTATCTTTAAATGCAACAGATGGGGGAATTCCCTGGCGGTCCAGTGGTTAGGACTCTGCGCTTTCACTGCCCAGGGTGTGGGTTCAATCCCTGGTCGGGGAACTAAAATCCCACAAGCCGTGTGATGCGGCCAAAATAAAAAAATTTTTTTTTATGATAAGTAAATAAATGCAACAGATGACATGTTAGTAGCAGTAGTATTAACAACTAATGTTTACTGAGCATTTATTATGTGCCAAGCACTGTTCTAAGGACTTCACATGAATTCATTTAAACTTTTCAACGACCCTAAGAGATAACATGTATTTTCCTCATTTTAAAAATGAGAAAACTGATGGTTTCTAACTATACATATTGGAGACAAGGCCTAACATGCATGATAGGCTGTTATTAACAGCATGTTTCCTTCCCTGAACACAATTTGACCTAGCAGTATATTTATCAAAATCTATGTGATAATAAACCACAATAAAATGGGGTCCACCAATGTTTGCTATAAGAATACTCTGTTGACTAATAAATTACCTGGGAGGGGCTTTTATCATTTTAAAAGAAACACACCTTAAACCCCAAAATGTTTGTACTTCTTCCAAATATGAAGGATTACTGATCATCTATACTTTAAAGAGATAACATCAACACTAACATTCTTAGACTATGACACCCCCTCTTAAAACTTTCATTTTTGCACTCACTTCAAAAACCTCGAGTGTTCTTAATAAAAGACATGAGTTGGAGCAACTGCTGGGAATGCATGCGGAAACTGCCACCCTTTCATCTATGAAGCCTGCTCCCTGCCAGGGATCTGAAATGACTTCACCACACACAGTTAGCAAAGTGAATCCCCTCAGCCTTGTGGGAACTAAGCCCCCAGGCAGTGAAGTTAGGGTGTGGTGAACTCACTCACAGTCAAAAACTTTTTTTTTCAACCTCCACAAGCACAGTCCTGGCTGGGACCTGTCTTGGGCTTTTCAAACACTCTTTTAATTAAAGCTGCTATTTGCACTCCACCTTCCTATTTCTCAGAGCATTTCAGACAAACTGGAATGTCACTGAGGCTGGAGGAAAACAGGAATATTCTGGACATTATTCTAAAATTGTAATTTCTCATGCAGTTGAAAACCCAAAAGTGACTAGGCTGTCAGTTGCTAATGCTAAAATGCTAATTATTGGCAATGTTATCATATTATTAGAACCTAGTTCAAGGCCACATGCACAAGGAAGCATAATAAAAATATCATCTGAAAACAATAAAGATATTGCTTCTAATCAAAGTCAAATGTGCTTACAGTGAGGTCTTTGCACTCTTTGGGTGCTATGAGAGCCCGACTTTATTTTCTGTAAAGCTTCATCAGAACTTTCCACAGCATCTTCAAGGCCTTGCTCAGAATCATTTGATTTTGATTTTCCTTCTTCGTTTATATTGGACTTGTCAAGGTTTTCAGACATTCTCAATTAAGTTCATTCACTTTCCTAGGGGGAAAAAGAAAACCAAAATGTTCTTGCTCTGACACTAACTAGCAGTGTGACTCTGGGCAAATGATTTAACTTCTTTGGCTTTCAGATTTCTCATCTGTAGAAATCAATGGGCTTGCTAAAGTCTTATCCAGCTATAATATTCTACTTCAATGATTAAACAGACCACCTGTAAAATGACACTTGTAACTATCAAATTTATGGACCTGTACTTCAGAGAGTAACAAGTTCGAATACTTCTGTCCCAATCTGAGTACCATGTCATGAGAACACAGGACCTTAAACTGTTGGGAGGTAACACTATAAACTGCCTGCTCCTATTTTTATATAGATATATAGATATTCTTTTTTTTTTTTTTTTTTTTTTTTTTTTTTTTTTTTTTTTTTTTTTTGCAGTACGCGGGCCTCTCACTGTTGTGGCCTCTCCCGTTGCGGAGCACAGGCTCCGGACGCGCAGGCTCAGCGGCCATGGCTCACGGGCCCAGCCGCTCTGTGGCATGTGGGATCTTCCCGGACGGGGGCACGAACCCGTGTCCCCTGCATCGGCAGGCGGGCTCTCAGCCACTGCGCCACCAGGGAAGCCCCCTGCTTCTATTTTAATCAAAGAGTGATTCAATTCTTAAATTCTTTACTTTCAGTCCTGAGAAGTGATAGGAAAACTCTGGAAATAATGCTTTTCATTGGGCTTCGAAGTAAACATACACTAGGCTGAGGAGTTGGTTCCCTGATCCTCTTATGTGGATAAGACACCTGGGGATGACAAACAGAAGGCAGAATCTCATGGAGCATTTAGGAAAAATGTGTGGGGCAAATTATTTTTGTTAACTCCTTGCCAGTCAGCAGGAAAAGATGGTGAGTAAAGTAGGAAGTTGCAGACAACCATAATGTATGTGGTTGGGAGGGATTTTAATTGTCTTAGTTGCTGATTAGAAGAGGAGTAACACTTAACACGCTGGTTTGGGCCTGGTTAATAGAGGCCTGGAATAGTAACCTCTGAATTACTATAAATGGTTTTTGTCAAGTTTTTTTTTCCCTAGAATTCTCTATTCTTAATGTGTTTCTAAGTAAGGGCAAAGAAAGACACAACATTTTCTGCATTTATAATACTGAAAATATTAGCATTTGTACTATCAGCACTTGGAGATCACAAAACATTTTCATAAGCACTAATCAGACTTTATTACATACCTGGATGTTAATCCAGGGATCAAAAGAAATGACTATTTTCAGGAGGTTTGGCAGACTCTCTTCTGTGCATTAGAAAAGAAGAATCACTTGATATAATTATCTGAACATCAGATACCCCATTAAATAGAATGAAGCTATTGGAATTGACATTTTCAGGCTTGTATTATTAACATGAAGGTTGCTTTAATGTAGTTCCCGTTTACCTTCCAGCAACCCACTCCAGACACCCATCTCCTCTGTCCTAAATCCTGTCTGGCTCTAGAAATGCTCCAAGACCCAAAAGATAACATTACCAGCATATTCTATGAGAAAGGACCAACAAAAACACTTCTAATTTTATCCTCTTCATATGCTGGGAATTAGCTCAGAAGGATGAAGTAACACATTCTGTGCAATAAGGAGGAAAATCAGGATTTCCAGGTCTTTAATACTAAGTTTAGTAAACTAACCCATCCTTGTAAAATTCGGCTCAACGCCTATCTCCTCCCAGGTCACTTCCCAACCTCACCAATGTTTGCACCTTTCTCTGAACTCCTGTAGGGATGGCTATTAGACATCTGGCATTCATCATTGCCTTAAATCCAATTCAAAATATCCTGATTTAAATAGGAATACAACGATGAAAAGGCATGGTCTAGAGAGGGAGAGAGACAGTCTTACAAGGAAATATAGTGAAACTTAAGCGTTAATGGCATTATGACATCACTAGGGGAATACAGCAGAGGGAGAAACTAATTCTGCCTGGAAGGAGGCTGAGATAACCTTACCAGAAAAGGTGACATTTGAGCTTGTCTTTTTGAAAAGAGTAGGATTTCACCCAATTAAACACAATCTGGAGAGAATTCCCTGGCGGTCCAGTGGTTAGGACTCAGCACTTCCACTGCAGGGGAGACGGGTTCGATCCCTGGTCGGGGAACTAATATCTGGCAAGCCAGGCTGTGCGGCCAAAAAAAAAAAAAAAACCAAAAAACTATCTGGAGGTGAAAAGAGGGGCCTTTCACACAAAGGGCAGCATTTCACTCAAAGGGCACATGCGAAAGCAGAAGAAAATAAGTAGACGAACAAGCAGCAGGTGATGAAGAAGGAGAGATGGGTTGGGGTCAGATGGTAAAATTACAAGTTCTTATTTTTTAAAAAACTCTTCAACTAGATTTTTAACTTCTTAAGGGCCAGACCAACCACATTCCCTACGTATGCTCCACACATATAAGTATGTCCTTCAAACAGATACCCACTAAGTATTTGTTGATAGCTGTGTCATCTCTTTAATGTCAGTTTATACGGGACACATGGGCGTTGGTCTCAGACATAGCTGGGTTCCAATTCTGGCTCTTTACTAGCTGTGTTAATTTCAATTTCCTCAACTGTAAAATGCAGCTACCTGCCTCTTGGGTTTGGGGGACGTGTAAACGACAAAGCGTACATAACGACAGCTGGTGCACAACAGGCTTCCCACAAATGGCAACTATAATTAGAGGACTACAGGATGCAGCGAGGAACCATTTAACTGCGTACAACGTGCTCATTCACTCAACAAGCCCCAACTCCTGCTATGCCTAAAAAGGGAACCGAGGGATAGAAGACCCTCGCACTTGCCGTGAAGACCGTCTATCTGAGCCGCAAGCCGAGCCCAAGCTGCTCACAAGAGACTCCCCCAGGAGAAAGGGTCTTTCAGCAAAAGAGCTCTGTCCAGCGCCGGCGAGAATCACATCCCCTAGCACTCAGCACCACTCACACCCAGCGTCCGGATTCCGTTGTAAACAACTGTTTGGGCCGGCGAGGGAGTGGCCGGGCCGGGAGCAAGCAAAGGAAGCGGGGCGCGCCTGGAGGACGGCCTCGAGGGGTGGGACAAAGGCCGCGCTAAGACTCAACCCTCCCGCCTTCTCTGCCTTTTCCTCGCCTCCACCCGACATCGCCGGGAACTGACCGACGGAAAAAGGCGAAGAAATGCCTGTAATCTCGACCTTGTTCCTCCCGTGCGGGCCCCGCAGTGCTGCCAGCCTCCGCTTCCCTCACCTGCAGCGGAGTCGGCGTCCTCTCTCCTGCCGCTCGGCCGGGAATCTGACGGGGGCTGGCGCCGCGGCGGAGGCGGGGAGGATGCGCGTCGGGCAGGGCGGTTCAGCCTCTGCCCCTCCGAGGCCGCACCCCTCACTGCGCTGCGAGCAGTCCTCCTCGACCGGCTCGGGTGGGCAGCGGCCAGCGCCGCAGCTCCTCAGCGTCGGACAGCGGGAGAGAGCTCTTAGCCCGGAGGCGCCGGTCCCATGCAGGGCGACGCCATGTTTCCGTACGGAAAGGCGGGAGGCGCGGCCGGATGCCGGCGGAGAGAGCCCAGTGGGCAGTGACTCGGAGCCGGGAGGCACCCCCACGCCACAGAGGGCGGCGCCATGTTTCCGTACGGAAAGGCGGGCGGCGGGAGGGGGGTCGCGGAGCCAGTCAAATAACGGAAAAGGGTTGGCAGTTTAGCTGCAAAGCTTTCCCCGCCCTGGTTTTCAAATTTAAATATTACATCACGTTTTGTAGCAGCGTATAGTTCATTCCCCTCCCCTCATTTTGGCTGTTAGAAAAAAGGCACGCCCACCACCTTGATAGCCAAGTCTCATTTTAATGGCACAGATTCGGTTTGGTTTGGGTCATCTCTTTTATCTAAGTGGCTGCTACACTTTGTCGACAGGAAGAGCGAGACTTTAGCCCTGAAAAGATGGAAGGTGAGGGGGCAAACACGTCCCATGAGGGTTCAGCTCGGTTTAGATAGTTGAGAAACACAGTGAGCACTCAGCATTTTATGTGCCGTCTGCGTTCTAGAAAGGAAACATCCCATGTTAAGACAAGCTTGTTCTGGAGCCTCCTTTCCTTTTGTCCCAGATACCCGGGCCGTGGCTATCGCGGCGCTGAATAACTAGAAAACCATGCTTTTCTCAGCCTGTAGTAGTAAGATAGTAAGCTAAACGAATAGAAATAGTTTTGGGGCCTAATCTTAAAAAGTAAAAGCTACGTGGCTCTTAACTGTTCGTTAGTAAAATGCTTTAAGACTGAGCATCAAACATATATGCCTTAAAATGAAGGTAACAATCAAGTCTCTTACCTGCAGCCTATAAAACCTGCTAAATTTAAGTAACTAGAACAAAACAAGATGGAGTGGAATTAGTGCTTTCAAACACTACACCTGGAGCTTCCCTGGTGGCGCAGTGGTTAAGAATCCGCCTGCCAATGCAGCGGACACGGGTTCACTCCCTGGTTGGGGAAGATCTCACATGCTGGGGAGCAATTAAACCTGCGTGCCACAACTACTGACCCTACGCTCTAGAGCCCGGGAGTCACAACTTCTGAATGCTCGCGCGCCTAGAGCCCGTACGCCGAAGCAAGAGAAGCCACCGCAACGAGAAGCTCGCACAACCGCAATGTAAAGTAGTCCCCCCAGCACCCCCTTCCTCCAAGGGGCGAAGAAACAAAGACCCAATGCAGCCAATAATAAATTAATAAATTTATTTTTTTAAAACGCTACATCTAAATTGATCACACGTGGAAAGTTACTCCTAAAGTATTGAAGACTGATGGCAATCCAGCAACCTCAAACCATTCACTAACTAACACATTAAAGTAAGAATTTTTCCCTTAAACACACACAGTTCTCAGATGAGGATTCACTTTAGAGGGGGGAAAAACGTTAAGACACTCAGTTAACTGGAACTGAGGTTTAGGCAGAAAACATTCAGTTCTCACTTCTGAGTGAGAATATACCATAGTCTCTAGATGAGTGGTTCTCAACCCTGACTCCACCTCAGAATCTCCTGGGGAGCAGTGGTTCTAAAGCTATCATCTGAAGCTCAGGGGGTGGGGTGAGTGGTGATGCCAGGCAAGAATTTTTAAGCTTCCCAGGTGATTCTAAGAGGCAGCCAGGCTAAAACTACCTTCCTAGAGAGATCTACCCCCACCTCCATGCCCCCAGTGAGAGTCCCCCTACCTTCCTTGAAGGATGAGTATAAACGATTTTCACATGTGGAGAAGATGCTGCAACACCACCAAAACCACTGATTTGACTTGGATGGCTCACTTGTAATCTTTTGATATATTTTGAATTGTTTCCTTTAAATCTTAAAAACATTGGCACATGTTCCAGTTTGCTTTTTGGCTACAAGAACTGGAAATTCAAATTACCTCAAGGTAAAGGGATTTCACTGACGGGCTACCTAGGGTTTGGAAGAAACAAGCTGGCTGCTGCTCTAGATTATTACTACTCTATCATCTCCCCAGGACACACAGGATCTCTTTCATCACATCTCTACTCCTTGCTGCAGTTGGCTTCACTCCTCTCTACACTACAGACTAGCTTCTTTATTTTTCAGTCGTTCCTCCTTCAAAATTTAGACGTTTCTATACAGAATTTGATTGGCCAAGCTGATTTTTGTGCACAGTCTCATTAGCCTCCAGGTAGGCTGTCCTTGGATCAGTTCTTAGCCCTGGGCTACTCAACTAGAGTGGTGGGGAAGCCCTTAGTCACCTAGGCATCAGGTGTTTTAAGTGGGGATGGCTTTCCAAGAGGACATCATGAATTAGTGAATGAGGGCAAGCAGCAAATGATGATTGACAGTTCTAGTGATATAAGAGGGTTGTCTAAGGCATTCAGGGTAGCACCAGACCTGTAGTTTAAAACTTTGACGATGCTTGCCATAAACATGACCAATTTTTCTTAAACTTTGTGCTGATGAAGTTTGAGGTAAACTGTGGTTTTACTAGATTTTCCACGAAATTAACATTCTATTAGAAGGCCACTTCTTCTAGGACCATGAATATAACTAGGCAGTTCTGCCTTCCCCTGAAGGAGAGGTGTTAGTTTTGTTGCCAAATAATCATGTTATTCCATGAAGTGCAAAATAAAGGTTGCAAATCACGTAGTACACACAGTTTTTGTCAACTATGGTCTCACCACACTTTCAGTAGTTTGTTTCTAAAAACTTCCTCACCCCTGAATTATGAAGTATCTTCTCTTTCACTTCATTGTAGAGACCTGCCTTCCTTTCTTGCCTATGCAACAAAGCAAAATACACACCACAAAAAACCCACCTGACATAGTTATTCCCTGCTTTATTAGGAGAATTGGTATTTTATACTATAGATATGTCCTCAACTTTATCCCATTTAAAGACTAGTCAGCATCAGTTATATCTTAACAAAAGATTGACATGCTAGCATATTGGTACATCATTTTAGTTTTCCCTACCTCTCATTAAAAGTCTAAATTTAAAGTTCAGCCTCATTTTATTATTTTTTCTTTGGTCATAATTCCTACGTATTTTTTTAAGTTTTAAAAATTTATTTTTGGCTGTGTTGGGTCTTCATTGCTGCACGTGGGCTTTCTCCAGTTGCAGCGAGCGGGGGCTACTCTTTGTTGCGGTGCGCAAGCTTCTCATTGTAGTGGCTTCTCTTGTTGTGGAGCATGGGCTCTAGGCGTGCGGTCTTCAGTAGCTGTGGCACGCGGGCTCAGTAGTTGTGGCTCACGGGCTCTAGAGTGCAGGCTCAGTAGTTGTGGAGCACGGGCTTCTTTGCTCTGCAGCATGTGGGATCTTCCCAGACCAGGGCTCGAACCCGTGTCCCCTGCACTGGCAGGCGGACTCTTAACCACTGCGCCACCAGGGAAGCCCTCAGCCTCACTTTAATCTTTTGGTTTTATTTTTGTGAAGATGCACAATTTAAAATTGTATTATAAAAGTATTATATTGCACGTCTATTTGCCAAGTACATCTTGACAGTGCAGTAGTTCCAAAGTAATCATTAACTTGGATAAAAAGTTGAAGAGTTTAGCTCTAATTTACAAGAAATGAAGGACACAGAGGAACATGATAAAGGATAGTACAGGCTTGCAATCAGCTAAATCCAGACTGTGGGAAACTCAAGAACAGATGACCAGGTTTATTCAATGACAGAAAGAGAGAAAAGGAGAAGGAAGGAGGGATAAAGAGAAAAACCTCGAGTAAAAGATTTAAGAAGCACATTAACCAATTGCACTTTATGAACTTTGTTTAGATCCCTATTTGAATAAACTGTCAAAATCATTTGAGATCAGAAAATGTGAACACTGAATGCATTTTGATGATATTAAGGAATTGTGGCTTTGTGTGTAATGACACTGTGGTTATGTTTTTTTAAATTTAATTTTTTATTTTTGTCTGCGTTGGGTTTTTGTTGCTGTGTGCAGGCTTTCTCTAGCTGCAGTGAGCAGGGGCTACTCTTCACTGCGGCGTGCAGCCTTCTTATTGCGGTGGCTTCTCTTGTTGCAGAGCACAGGCTCTATGTGTACGGGCTTCAGTAGTTGTGGCACATGGGCTCAGTAGTTGTAGCTCGCGGGCTTCAGAGTGCAGGCTCAGTAGTTGTGGCACATGGGCTTAGTTGCTCCGCAGCATGTGGGATCTGCCTGGACCAGGGCTCGAACCCATGTCCCCTGCATTAGCAGGCGGATTCTTAACCACTGAGCCACCAGGGAGGTCCCTGTGGTTATGTTTTTAATGTCCTTATCTTTTAGCTATACATACTGAAACTTAATAGATGAAGTGATAGGATATATGAAATTTGCTGAGGTGGGAGCACAGAATAGATTAAACAAGATTGGCCATGGGTTGACAACTGTTGAAACTGGATGATGAGTACATGAGAGTTCATTATTCTGTTCTCCCCATATTTATATATGTTTGAAATTTTCCACAATAAGCTTTAAAAGATGTTGAAGTTTTCAAAAGCATTAGGACAGCTCAATTTTTACTTGTCTACAGTTTATGGTAATTGACAAATTCACTGTAGCATAGCCTAAGTTTCTATCTTGTATCTTTAAGAAGTATACCTTTCAAGGTACAAACCATACTCCTATTAACTTGTAATTACAGACTTCCTTACTGTTTAATACTTTCTTATATAAACACTGCAATGTCATATCATTTAAATTCCTAGGATGTTCTATTAAGTGTCGTGCACAATAATTATAAATCAACCCACCTAAAAGAGGTCAATACTTAACAGCAATACACCATCTAATACTCAGTTTCAGACACAAAAAGTTATACAAAAAAGTTTTATTAAGTACAGTTTCATATCTAGAAGAACATCCAATATTACAATGTGATTGGATCTTTAGGATACATAATTTATTCTTAAAATACACAAGTTATATACAGACACTGGAACACTCAGTCCCCAAAATACTCAATAAAGATGTCTGGGTGACACT